GGACAAGGATGGAGCAGGCTTCACTTTCTAGTGCTTTGTCTGGTCAAGAGGAGTATCTGCTTGGATGAGAGTGATTCACTCTGTGCTGGGAATTGTTGACAACTGAACCTGCTCAAGTATTAAAAAATAGTTAAATGATAATCTGTTCCTCTGCACAATCAGTGTCAGTGTCCTATAAGGTCTAAGCACTAACATTACAGAATTGCTTGCAAATAACCATTATTTATTTATTTAAGGTAGTCAATATTTCCCTCTGAATACGGTTTCAAGTGCTTGTGGTTTGATATCAGATGGCTTTCAAAACCAGCCCTTCGTTTCCTGGAATAAAATTGACCCCATGTATGACAGTAAAGCACACAAATGCTTCTGTTCTTTAACGCCCTTGATGAATTTCTGTCTTATGCATTCTGAACAAGTTTTGTTTAGTCTTTTCTAATAGAATGTTTTATAAAAACAGGTAGTGTATTTTGTTTTGAAGGTTGTTCACCTCCTGTATATGTCAGCTCTTGAAATGACTTGTTAAGGAGAGGTGTATTAGTGATAAAGCTAGAAGGCTGATGTATAGCCATTCAGATCAGAGATGCTTCCAACCTTTCAGTTCTGCCTGTAGCAGGTATGATTGCTGCCTTTTAGTGTGACTCAAAAGCTTCCTGTGCTTGTGCATGCCATAATAGCATCATCTCAGCTTTGCTCCCTCTTCTCTTGGCAGGGACCATATTGCATCACAGCCATAAGAGAAGAATATCCCAGTTTAAGCAGGGATGTTTGTCATGAAAAGAGTCCCACAGCACCACTTTATTTCTTGAAATATTTCAGAACTGAACATCAGATGTGGCTGTTCCTAGTAAATATGCTGGTATTTTGCAGCGTTCTGTTGGAGCCATGCACGATTCTTGTCCCAAACCAGAAAGTGAACATTTACAATACAAGGCCTTGCAAGATATGGAAATATTAACCTGAGAATTGAAGAACTTAGTGGTGGGACTTTGTAAAATGACAGTTGCTTGAAGTTTGCTAACTTGGAAATGCTGCAGAAATCCTGGAAGAATGATGCATTGCATGGGGTAGACTAGGGAAATGTGATGAGTAGTTTGTGATTTGCTTGTTGATCCCACATTGCTGCTTGCAGCAATTTAAAAAATAAAAATATAATTTAAAAAAGAACCATAGTAATAGTGGTTCTTTTTTAAGTACAAATCCTAAGGAGCACACATTTCCATTTCAAAAAAGAGTGTGATGGAAGATGGGTGGCATTAGCTTATTGGGCACATGCACTCAAGACTGAAATTCTGCCGTAGTTCGTTGTTTGCATTTGATAACTGCTGAAGGGCTTAATATAGTTAACTTGGGAGGAAAAACTTGCCGAAGGAAAACAGGACTCTTGAGCCCTCTTTTTAGGGGAGCATGGCCAACCTGGGGCTCTCTAAGCTGTGACTGGTAAGCAGAACGTGGAGCTCCACACCAGCTGGCCAGCAGTGGGATGGGCTGAGAAACCCACAGCAATTAGCCTGGCGCAGCCTCATAAGGAAACGCTGACAGTAGGAGTTGCCAGTTTGCCATAAAACTGCCTACTCTGTGATCTGGGGTCTGCAAAGTTGCTGTGTGGGTTGTTTGAGCAATACCTGCCAGCTGAAAGTGCTGGTACCTCAGCTCTTGGAGGTATCTTCTGACACAGGTGAACATCTGGTATACGTGCATGGCCCAGAAGGTTGGCTGTTGGTGTGGTTGGTGTGAGGTACCTTTCTTATTCACTTTGGAATGTAGACCTCTGCAGAGCATCCTGCTTTTGAAGGAGGCAAAGCAATGGAAACTGTTCTGCCCTTGACATGTTCTCTCCATTGTTTGTCTAAAATGCTACTAGGCTGATCTATTTGAACTGCAGTAAAAACAGCTGGTTGCTAGGAAAAACACCCTTAAGCCTGTAACTGTGCTTTGTAATTGCCAGTAACAAAAATTCAAATAAGAAATTTTGTAGTTTATTCTGTTCCTGGCTTTGTCATCTTGAAACAGTCACGTCCTCCCCCCACCTTGTACCTCCTTGTGTTTCCTGCTTTCATGTTTTCACCTGATCACAGTATCCTTTCTTTTGGGAATGTTTCTCCCTGGAGTTTCTTGACTAATTCTCAAGAACTGTGAAGGAGTTTTAATGTAATCTTTCACATAACAAGAAATGTCTAAGGCTCCAGTGTTATGCTGACAACTGTTTTGCAGCATCTTCTTGGGGAAGTGCACATTAATAGTGGTGCCTGTGGCAAAGCTTCTATCCCCCAGATCTATTCTCATTGCTTCATACTGCTTCCATGTTTGCTTTTGCTAAAGCTACACTGAATTTCTTGTACAGCTGTAACAGATTCTTTTGAAATGAGAAAAATAGGTCCTCAACCATTCTACATGATCTTGCAGTAAGCTCATATATTTTGCCAGGAACTGTTACAAAGACCCTCCTTGAGTCTTTGACAGTGATTCAAGGATCATCTTGCTAGAAAAGGCTCTTTATTATTGCCAGATTTATCTGGAGAGATGCCAGAACTGCTTGATCCTGCCTCTTGGATTTGCTCTTTCAGTTTCTAACACTGATTTTCATCTAGAATCTTGTGAAATATGAGCTAGAAGGTAGCTTGATTTTCCAGCCCAAAGTACTCACGTGCCTGTCTTCAAACTAAACACTGAAGATGGTTCTCAGTGGATCATTCAAGTGGTCTTTTGTATTTTACTCTTTAATCTCAGGTCTTAAACTTTTGAGTTTTCATGAGAAGTCCCCTGTATCTGGAGCTTTATTTCACAACTTAGATGATAATAGTGCTAAATGAATTGCTTGTCCATCTGATTGTTGAATGTGGCTGCTTAACTATGTGACCACCTCAGACTGCCTCTTTACAGAATTGTAGAATTCTTTGAATTGGAAGGGGCCTTTAAAGATCATCTACTCCCTGTTTTGTTGCAGGGCAGCTGGGCACCTGCAGCTAGGTCAGGTTGCTCGGAGCCCGATTCAGCCTGACCTTGAGTGTCTTCAGGGATGGGGCATCCACCACCTCTCTAGGCAACCTGTCCCCTAGGCTGGTAGTGCATGGCTGGCCTTCTCTGAGAATGTACTTTCATGAGTGGTCATGATAAAAGTCTGCATGGATCTCCTGGTTTGGAAAACCAAATGGAAAAGTGGGAGGCTGAGGGCACAGTGTTCAACAGCAGCAGTAAAAAGTAGAAGGGTGCAAGAGCAGCAGAATGCAGGAAATGTAATATATACGTGTGTGTGGGGGTGTGTGTGTGTCAATTGAGCAGTTGATACTTCATTTTATTTTAAGGTTTTGGCCTCTGGTCAGTGCTTAGTATATTCTAATATCTGTGTCCTTTCCTCATCAGATTGTTTTAATTAAAATGGATACAAAATGTTCTGCGGACCATGAGGAAGGAAGGCCTTTGGGAACATTCACTGCAAATGTTAGCATCTCCCGGGAGGCTGCTGCGTGGTCTGGCCGTTAGGCTGAGGGGAAGAAAAATCAGGCTGTCCTACTAACTCAGGCAGGCTGGGAGAACTTGGGTTCAAGGATGGTTATTTTTTAGAACTAGGATAAAGAGTGAGTATGCAAACAAAGCAGTGAGGCTGGAAGGGAGTGGTAGAGAACATCCAACCTCCTAAGTGTGCACTGATTTAATAATGAACAAGGTTACTACAGAAGGAAGCTTTGGAAGACGCTTTAGTGGTTCATTTGCTGGAAAGCTCCCTGCTTGGCATTGTCAGAGCTCGGCTCACTGCAGCATGCAGTGCTGGGTCCTGCGGTGGGCACGGCTGCAGGGAGCAGAGCAGTGACCCCCATCCTCCCGACGGGGAGCGGGGCGCCACCGTGGGCCGCCGCTGGGGCTCCCTGCTCAGCAGGGGGCTTAGCATGAGGACGAGGAGAGGTTCCCAGCCTTAGACCGGTAGCGTAAAAGCGCTCGATGCCAAGGCACGGCTGCTTAAGCTCTCCAAGCGTATCGGTGTCCAAGCGAGCGTTCAGCCCGTGGTTCTCACCGGGACGGCCTGACCGCACGGGTCGAGCAGCGGGACGCTCCCGTGCGGGATGGACGGCCGCGCTGCGCCGGGCGCGTCCCGGCGGAAGGAGCGGCACAAAGCCGCGGCTCAGCCTGCGCTGCAGCTCCGCCGCCAGCCTGCCTCGGGGCGTGCGCCGGCCGCCCGGCCTCCCCCGCGCCGTCCCCGCACGCAGGGCGGCAGCGGCGCGTCCACGGGCTGCCGCGGCCGAGGGGAAGGGCAGCGCTCCCCTCCCCTCCCCTCCGCCGGGAAATCGCCCGGAGCCCGGGGCTCGGCTGCGCGGAGGGCAGGACTGCGGCTGGCGGCGCTCGCGGCTGCGGCTGCCCCGAGATGGGCTGCGCCAGCAGCAGGCTGTGCCTCTACCCCCAGTGCGCCGCAGCCAGGGTAACGCTGCCGGGGGGCTCCTCGCGCTGGGCTGCTTTGGGGGGCGGCGGTCTGGGGGTGGGCTTGTCTCTTTTTTCTTTTTTTTCTTTTTTTTTTCCCCACCCGGTGCAGCAGGGAGGGCAGCGGCTGCCTCTGCATGCCACTGCGAGCCCCTAACGCACCTTACCGGGGGCAGATGGAGTGCTTGGCAAAGTTTTGGGGTCGTGCTTGTATTTTCCTTAAGGAAGCTTCAGATATTTATTTCAGTGCATGCCTCTTTCACCGTACTCCGGTGCCCTTGTCAGCAATCGCTTGGTTTGTTCTGTAAGGTTATGTTGCTCCACCCATCATAAAATATGTAATTAATGGCTGTGAAGCAGGATCTTAATTGCAGTGTTATCCTGGAAAAAGCTGTTCTCCGTTTTAAAGTATAACTTGCTTAACAACAGGACATCTGTGTATTTGGTAACAGCAGGACTGTTATCCTAAATGATTCATAGCTTGGCTTCTTGCTCCTGCCTCTTGTTTTCCTACAGAGCACATGCAAGTTATTGGAAGGTGCCCTGTTTGGATCACTTATGTTTGTCTCTGTTTGTTTTTACTTCTGCAGAGGGAGGAAGCACTGAAACAACATAAAGAGTTATCTCAAGAACTAGTCAACCTGCGAGGAGAACTAGGTAAGAACCTATTTTTCCAAATCTGAATGAAAACAGAACTGCAGCAAACCAGGTCTGTGGAAAGAGTGATGCCATGGCATTGTAATGGCAGGCAATGAGTTCCCTGGCTGAGTTCTGCTCGGGAGCTGCACTGCTGCATTGCTCTGCACCACTCTGCCTTTGCCTGCTCATGGAATCTGCATCTGGTGGGCAAAGCACTCCCTTCCTGAACCTAGGAGGCTGTCCCACATTGTGCCCTCTGCTTAGATACCCAACTTGTATGCTGTTTCTAAAGATATGAAGAAGAAATCTATAAATCTGTGAAATACACTGCACCAAATCTTTGTTTTGCATGAGTTGCTTGTCGGTGAATGAATATGAAATTAACAGAAAGAAATGGTATCAGGCTAATGAGATTAAATTTTTAAACTCAGCCTAGCAGACAGCTGCAATGTGAAATGGAGCTATAATGTGCAAGGGCTGGTTTTGCAAACTTTGAAGCTTAGTTTAACTGCATTTAATGGTAACTTCATAGAACTGGTTCAATCTCAAATCAGAATAATCTTGTGGAGTCTAAAAAGTCATCAAATTGAAACTGATGGCATTTGAAAGTGAAGCTATCATTTTATAGACAGCTCACCTCTGTTGTTATAGAACCCCTTTACAAAGGAAAGATCCTTGGGAAGCAGCAGTGATTTGTGTGAAGTAGTTTTAGATAATGACTGATTACTGAGGAGTTGGAAACTTGTATTTTTACATGCTTTGGAAGCTATCTCAGCCCAACTTGTCTTGTGTGGGTAGGCCTTGTTGCATGCGGGTGTATGTTTAATTATCAGATTTTTTATTAGTGCTGATTAGCAGGGTGGGCAACTCCATCAGCACGTCTGTTGAAAGAGCTGAAAGCTGACGGGTAATGGCATGAATAGAGGAAGCCTTGCAGACCAAGCAAGTATATGAACGTACTGAAAATACAAAACGCATTTCAGAGATGTGTTTTCATTGCTGGAAGTCAGTGCTGAAGAGCAGAGGCTTTTCTAGAGCTTAGTGCATGATGGCATCTGTCAAGCTGCAGCCTTTAACCTTTCTGGTGGCCAAGTGTCAGGGTTGCAGTTCTGCATCTCTTCCAGGCCAGTCCCAGTAGGAACTGCCTGTGAGAGAGCCTTGTAGCCCTCTGCCTTTCTGTCCTTGTGTCAGCACTTGGGAAAGCTAGTGGTTGGGCTCACCTGCCTGCCTGGTGAGTGCCAGAACAACCACAGGGGAAGGGGCTGCTGGGGGAGGTGGAGGCTGTGTCCCTTGACTGCAGCATCAGCACATCTGCTACTCTGAAGTGACAAAATTAGAGTGAGAGTAGTACTGTGCAAACAGGATTCTTGCATTGTTGGGTGACCTATGAAGTTGTGTTGTGAAGATGATGAGGACATAGATTTATTTTCTGTATGTGTGTGTGTACGTATACGAATGTATGTAACTTTCTGGGCAAATCTATTTGTTTACCTTATCATGAACATTTCTTGCTCTGACAGCAAGCCTTCTGAAGTAAGCCTCCCTATCCTGTCATTGCATCTGCAGTGTTATCTTTCCTTTATCTGCCTTTATCTTTCCTTTATCTTTCCTTTATCATCCAGGCCAATTAACAAGAAGGGGAAATTCAGATTAGAAGGATAGACCAAAATCTATCCAGCGCTAAGCCCATTTTTTAGGGCTTTGGTTGTTTGTTTTCTGAAAGCTTAGTTCATTCCAGAGACCTGGGATGGGGCTCCTACTACAAGAATGCACTGCCCTGCCAAAGGGTACTTAGACAGCTTCAGACAAATCAGCCCCCCTGTGCTGCATGGCACCTGCCTGCAGAGCTGACAGTAGGTGATGCTGTGCAAGGCCACCACCATCCTCTTTCAGTGGTAACACTTCTGTGCCAGCTCTGCAGAGCAGCTGAGGACAGCCTCAGGTTTCCACACTGCCTTCATGCAGGGTCTTGTGTCTTAACTCCATCATGCACGTAGACTGTCTGTATCTCTTACCATGGGATGGGAATGTATTAACTGCAGTACTGCAAAATTAGACACATCTTCCGTTCTATCTGGCTTGAAGAGGGTTTGTTTAAAGTAGATAAATAAAAAAGCCAGCTGGCCCTTACTTGTTGACCAGCTTTGCAAAAACATTCTTGCAGTGTTAGCTTTAGCTGACAGTAACCTGTTTAAATGCACACCTGCTAATCAGCTTTGTGTTTCCACTGTTAAATGCGTACAGCTGTACTTCAGGTTCCCATAGGCTATCTGAGGTAAGCACTGAGAATTTTGATTGATGGTGTCAGTTAGACACAGGCTGACATTTGAATCTTTTTTGGTTGTACAGACACTACAGGTCCCACAGAGTCCAGGCTGACATGTTTGTAAGGCATGTTGTTCACAGGCTGGGAACAGGCCATCTAGGAAGAGGAACCAGGTGTGTCAAGCTCCATGTAGGCTGTGCCAGGTTTGAGAGGAGCACAGAATCTTTTGCTGCTCACACCTTGCAGTGTCAAGTCCTTGGTTTCTGCCTTTTTGAAGTTTAATTGTGTATGTTCCCAGGCTCCTTTATTTATCTTGTGAAACTGACTGGCTTGCTGTAAAATTCTGTAATTCCGTAATACACTTCCTATTCAAATACATTCTTGTTTAATGACGGTGTGCAAATGGAGCATTAGCAGTGTGGGCTGATTGAGCCATGCACTGCTGCAGCCCTAAGATCTCCCTTAGCCAGCTGTGGTGTCCTTATTCCACGCATGGAGGGCATTCCCCAGGCACCGTGTTGGGGGTTGGACATAATAATGGTTGGGGGAGGGCTTTTCAAAGGAGGCCAGATCCATTCACAGCCTCAGGGACTGAACGGGGGAGATTTCAATGTAACTGCTTTGGTCCTGGGAACCCGGAGCAGATCCGAATGCTGCTTGTCACTTAAATTTCCCTGCTCATCAACGTACAAGCTGCTATATAAATCATTTCTAGTTGCCTGTTTAATTATGTAAGTAGAAGCAGCAAGAACTGCATATTTCCACAGTGACATGAAACTGCTCCTTGCAGTGAATTTGACTCTGGATTATTTCAGTCTGCAGCTCTGCTGGCTGCAGCCCAGGCCCATGCTGCTGCAGGGTTGGCACAGCAGCTGCTGGCCCCTTTGGACCTGCAGCCAGGAATCTTTTTAGTGGGCAGGAGGGATGTGCACGTGTCCTGTGCAGTCCTGTGGACTCCTCTGCATTGCAATTGATAAACAGCATTTTCTTCAGAAATATTTTCGTGTAATTTTCTGTGCTATTTTTTATTAGTAATTGACCTTTAAAGCGTGCTTTGGAGGTTGGGATATAAAGGCTATTGGCTTTTTTGTTCTGTTTTTTTTTTTTTTTTTTAACTGGCAGATGAAGTGAATATGGTTTGGTTTCCAGGTTTGGGTAATTCTTAAAAACGTTTAACAGAAGCTAGACATTTCCATCAATTATCTGGGGGAAGGAGCATTTCCTCCCATGCGTTTGCCTGCCTGCTGACGCTGTGGTGATATTTCTAGTACTAAAGGATAGGAGCTTTCTTCCTGGCAGATACCTGCGTACTTCATCTGAGCATTCAGCCTTACCCACCTATATGTGCCCTAAAGCGTTCTCTTGGTTTACCTGGCTCATTTCAGCTTGCCCAAAACTTGGCTTGACGCTGTGCCATGGGTAACACCCAGAGAAACTTGGTCATAAACTGAAAGCATGCTTGGGTGGAAGAATTTCCAATACTAGGAATCTGCCAAAAACACAAATTAATTATTGGTTGGTTATGATAATAAACCTTTATATAGAGAAGAAGCTTGTGCGTCTCCAGTAGAACTGCTGGTCAACAGAACATACACATAAATAATTCTATGTGATTAATAACATTAGAACAATAAAATGTTATGCACTGTGATGTAGTACTATGCTAAATGCTTGGTGTTCTCTGGCAATGATCCTTATTTCACGTCCCCCACACCTATTAAAGTGCCACTGGTTTGCTGCTTCAGCAACCTCTTCAGAATGTCAGACAGCCCCATGGCTTCTTGTTTCCTGAAGCATGGCTAGGCCAGGGAGTGACTTGAATAGTTTTATGAAGATAACTTTTGTTTCAAAATGATTTGATTCAGGTAAGCTGTCTTATCTCCTCTGAGCTGTGCTTACAGTGGCTTTTAAGTGAGAGTAGAGTAAGTTGAGAAATGTTTTTATGTAAGTACTTGATCCATAAGGACTGAATTGGTTTATTGTGATGAATTGTTAGATAACTGGAATAAAAAACCAACTAAATCTTAGTTTAAATTAAGAAGGAGATGCTGTGCAATTGTCAAGGCTTACCCCTTGGCTGCTTTTGCTGGAAATGTGAGAGAAATGTCTTCGGGGTTCTATGAAAAAGGGCAACCTCTGTGGCTGTGGTTTCTCATGCAGAAAGGTGCTGCTGGTGCCCACTTTCCACATCCCCTAGGCTGGGGTTCAGATAGCTGACATACAGAGCTGTGCAGTGACACATGTGGGATGGAAGTGGCTGTTGTTCACATCTCCATACAGGTGTTAAATTCACAAGCTGAAAGCAGCATTTCTGGTCAGAAGGTATGCTGCTACCAAATTTCAGAAACTTCCTGTGATTGCCAGAGGTAGTGGTGGTTCTGCCCAAAAGAACCACATTCTTATTGCACTGTGTAATAAGCAGGTGTTAGAAGTGTAGAAATATGGAATAATCTTGCTCTGTGCTGTTATAATACAGGAATGATGGTCTGTCTTGGATTGTTCACCGGGACAACCAAGTGCAGAAAAAAAAATAATGGATTTGCTATATCAATAATGAAGTAAACCCTGCTTGATTTACTGACTTGATTTTTCTTTCAAATGCTGCCAGACTGTTTGCATCTCCTGTTGCTTTTTGCTCAAAGTGTATGGTCTTATTTTGTAATGAGTGGCCTGAGAAAGATGTGGAACTGTGAAGGGAAGTGCTATAAGAAGGCAGAGGAACGTATAAAAAACAAGCATGCATTTCAGGATGTCTCTGAAGTTCATGGAAAGTTGAAATGGAGTTTTATGTGCTACTGGAAGTGTGCAAGTTCTAGTTGCAATTTTTTTTTCACAAAATTAAACACCAGTTCTGGGAGAGAAGTCTTACATTGAGTTATCAAAGTCAGTCAGGAGTTTTGCAGTATTCCGTGCTGTGCATAAGTGGCCCAGCAAAGGGATGATTGCCTCTTGCATGGCCTATCCCTCTCTTAAAACAAGACAATGTGCAGTCGTAGATTGTATTACTCAGTGTGGAGACAAACAGAGCTGTGCAAAATGCTGCAGACACTTGAGTCTTGAGCAAGGGGACAGACCATTGTTGTTTAGAGGGCTTCTTGTAACTTCAGCACAATTCTTCAGTTGGAGCTTTTGCTGGAACTTCACATGCAGTTCACTGCACGCTCGTGGTACTGGGAGTCCACTGGCGGTTTTGCTCCTTGCCTGCATGGCAAGGGTGCAGCAAAACATGCTGTCTGCAGGGACCTGCAGAGCCTTTGGGAGGCCAGGTGACTTCCAACTGCTGGTGCAGACTTTAAAAGTTAGTTTTTGTTTATCTTCATAACATGAGTCTTCTCATAAATCTGGATTGCAAACTGGCTGAACAAGACCTGATGTGGCTGTTCCCTTTGACAAAGGCAGGGTTTGCTGTTTGATTTTTTTCTGAAATGTTTTGCGTCATCTGAAGATCTCTATGCTGATATTTAAAGACAAGGCAAAGTGAGGCAGCAAATTCTTTTAGCTCACCAGAGGCAAAGCAGTGGCTCAGGCCTTATAAGTCAAGAGTTGGATTACTTGGTTTTTAAAGGAAGTGGATCATCTGAAAGTTCACTACAATTACTTTAAATGAGGCATGTGAGCTGCTTGCTCTGTGCCATGACTCAGTGGTAAATGGCCAGATCTGTTCTGCATGTTGCTGGTTGAGTGATGTTTCCATTTGGTTCTCTGCCTGTTTCTTTGCATTACAAAGAATATCCCCTATCTATGACATTTCTTTTTTCCCAAAAGCATGAAAATGCAAAACATACACAGTCAGTAAACTTGTCAATGTGATGTGATAGGAGTTTGCTCATGTTTTTTCTCCTTCCCTTCCCCAAAAGAATCTGTTTATGACTGTCATTCATGGAAAAAAATTAAGGAAATAAAAATCTTACTTGATGATGGTTTAGAAAGCTGTGAAATCATGAGTGAATGTTGTGATGTGTTTGTGTTGAGCTTTTCATTGCATTATTGCCAATGGCAGGGCGAACAGCTTGCCTTAGTGCTGTCCTGCTCAGCAGAGCTTTCCAACAGAACACTTGCACAAAGCTGAAGCGTCTGGGTTCTTGTGGGGTTGGTTGGTTGGTTTGTTTGTTTCTAAAACAAACAAAAACAAAAAGGCACCAGTAATTCAAGAAGATACAGATGCAGAGAGATCTCCATGCAGTACAGCTTTCTCTTACACTTCAAGTGCACGCATCAATTGATTGCAGTAGTGCCAGGACTTTGCTGCATTTTCCTTAATGGAGTGCAGGTACCATTCATTTGTTCTTTTGCTGAGCTGTAGCAGAGGGCAAATCTAACACATGCCCAACTTCAGGCAGGCTGCTTTCAGGACAGCTGAAGCCAGGACTGGTTTGGGCCTCAGCCCTTGAAGATCCATGTACAATCCATGTATCTTAGCGCTCAAACAAAGCTATGATAAGAATTTCCTGTAATGCCTGTACCAAAATTCTTGAATCTTCTAATGCTTCCACAGAGTTTATGTTGTTTGGGCAGTGTGCCAAGCTGCTATAAAGTGTGTGTGCACGTTAACTCTCCTACATTTCATTCAAGATCACGTTAATGTTCTAGCTGATTTTTCTCTTAAGGAGATACTCACCTGATTAATTAATTTTAAAATTTATTTTAAGCAAAAGTGATAAATGCTGCACAGAAGCGATCGTGCTTGAGGTCGGTGACCTCGTGCTTCTGCTAGCGGTCCTGTTTCACCTTGCTTCCAGCCCATGTGCAGCTGCACAAGGGGTTTGTTCCAATCCAATTTATAGCAGAAAAGGGATTCTTTCTGTTCCAGCGCTTTTGGTGGGAGGTATGAGTGCTAAATTTCAAACTCTAAAGCACAAGTTTCTTTTTTGCCTTTTAATCAGCTCAGTAAATATGGAGAGAAAAACCTAGGCAGTTTCCTTTACTTGCAGTTGTTAATAAAAATGTATGGAGAGCTGTAAAGTATTCTGTTTGCTTCTTTAACACTCTGCCCTGGGCCTGAACTGCTCTCTGTCTTGCATATTTAAATCTATTTGGTGCACGCACATTAGCAGTACGTTTCAGATTGGTGCTTCTGTATTACTCTGCTTAGGGCAGTCTGTGCAGTTGCCTCAGTGTTCTGTAGTTGAGCATGGTTAGCATGCTGGATGGATGGCCTTCAGGATGTTAAGACTTTCCAATTTAGCTAAGTGGTTTATACATCAGAAAGTGAAGTACTCTGACAAATAGCTCCTGAAATGGGATCAAATTAGGTGAAGTAGCAAATCCAATTAATTTTTTTATTAGAGCACTCTGGTATCTCCAGTGAGACATTCATTCTTCTATGTCATGACATACTGTCACGTTTGTGCTTTATGTGAGGGTTTCTGATTTAACTAGATTAAATTAATTCTTAGCATAAGACACAATGTATTCAGTATTTTTGCAAAGGTCTTTTCTTGTGTCTTTGGAGGTGGCACTCGTTTCATAGATAAATGGATAAATGATACTTGTCTTTGTATATCTCAGTTCCTATGCAGGCATATTTCCATCCTTAGTACCTGTAATGAGACTGTGAACTTAGCAGTGAACTTGATCAGATGACTTTTTTTTTTTTTAATTTTGCCATCTTCAGTAACAACTTCTGCAGCTTGTGAGAAATTGGAGAGAGACAGGAATGAACTGCAAGCTACTTATGAAGGATTCCTGCAGAAATTAAACGAGCAGCATCACAGCGATTTAGCTGAATTGGAGGAGAGGCTCAAGCAGTTTTACACCGCAGAATGCGAGAAGCTCCAAAGTATCTGCATTGAAGAAGCTGAGAAGTACAAAGCGCAGCTCCAGGAGCAGGTTTGTGGTATTTGGAGTAGGAATATTCTTCAACAATTGTTTTCTGCTACAAATGAGCCCTTGAGGAATCTTGACTGATTTATTTGTTTGTTTATTTTGGCTATTAATGAATGTATTTTATCTAATGTGAAACTCTACTTGATTGCAATTACGAAAGAAAATGTTAGTATGCAAAGCTGGCCAAGCCTTAAGGTTGTGTTTTAACATGGTAGAAATTCAGCATTCTGTAAGCTTCAGTTATGTCTGGAGCTCTTCGGGTACTTGAAGCAGCTTGAGTTTTAAGATTTATAAAACCACACCTGGCTTGGAATTGCTTTGCAGCAATTCCATGTGTGTGAGAGACACGTACATTCTGTTGGTGTCTGTAGACTGTTCTCTTCTATTAAGTGTTGTATGTGGCTTAGCTTTTCCTGTGACCATCTGTTAAGTGCTATCTAGACTTAAGCACAGCATAAAACCACCATAACAATACTTTCAGCGAGGGTTAAAATGTCATAATAAGGGGAAAAACTCATCTTGTCATATTGCAGGTGGACAACTTAAATGTCACACATGAAAACTTAAAGCTGCAACTTGAAAACAGCCACTCAGAAAAAGTAGAGGAGCTGAAAAAGAAATATGAATCCTCTTTTTCGGGCAAGTATTGTGTATTCAAGTCCATACAATGTAGTACTACTAGTCACAAACAAAAATATTCAAACACATTAAACCTGAATATGCACATTTCCTTCTTCTTGCTGGTCAGCTATCCTTACAAATGCTGGCTGAATTCCTTCTTTTGGCTCTGAACAAGTCTATTTTATATACAGAAATAACCCATCGTGATTGAATGAAACTTTCAAAACAGTTTAAGAGTGGAGATGACTTTTAAAAGATGCGTCTAAATTACAGCCTGCCCTCAAAATGTCATGGTAAAGGAGCAACTCTTTCCCTACCACCCCCACACTTCTGTAAGGAGCACCTCAAAATTGAGATGAACATTAAGTAGGGTTAGGTGGTGTCCAGATTGATGTGGGAATGTTTCTCAAGTTGAGAAATACTATGCATTGTTTAGAAGAGTGAAGTTTTTTCTAGGAAGAGGTGTGTTCAGATTTAAATTGCATTGTGTCTAGATGATTTAAGAGGTGATGGCCTCCATCCTCCCTTTGACTCCACCTTACAAGCAAATTTCCAGTGATCTTTTTGTCTCCTTAAAGGCATTTCCAGTATAACTGCAGAGCTCTTCTGTAGGATATTTCCAAAGGAGGAAAGGAAATGTTTTTCAATAAATGCCTGGGAGACACGATACGTTTTTTGCCTCTAATTCCTTTCAGAAGATCAGCTTTTGTCAGATGTGGATCTGTGCTCAATTCATCCATCTGTTGCATGTAGATGAGTGCTTTCAAACTTGAGATGCTGTCAACTAATGAAATGTGTTTGTGAGAGGACAACCCACAAATCTGAAACGGCGATAAATCTTATACTTTGTAAGGCTTTGGGATGGTTTGTGATAAATGTTCTTTCCTTGTTGGCAGTGACTCTGCATCTGTGCATATGTGTTTTGGCTATTTGTCCTTGTTAAAACAAACAAACAAACAAACAAACCCCTCATCATATATTAAAAATCTACAAAAATCATTTGTTGCAGAGCTCAAGAATGCCCATGAATCTGAAAGGAAGTCGCTTGAAGATTCCTTTAAGGAGAAGCAGGAATTGCTAGAGGTACATTTGGGGGTTGAGTCACTGCAGATCTAAAACTTAAATGGGATTTTGGAGATGTGCACTGAATTCTTGGCCTAACTGTGCTCTGTCTTTTCATTTCAGAAAAAAATTGATGAATTAAAATGTGAAAACGTTGCTCTAAGTGAGAAGCTGAAATTAGAAGAGCAAAAACAAACAGCCAAAGAAAAAGCCAGTCTTGTAAGTCCAGATCTCCAAAAGTAAAGCAGACAGGCAGAACTTTTATGCTCGGGTTTATTTTATTGCATGATGTGAAAGGCTTGTAATCAAATGTGAGAGCTCCAATACATATTAATATTGTATGTAAACAGATTGCCTACTGTTATAAATCTATTGAGTGTGTAAGTTAAAGCCTAAGTGAATCTGAAAACCTGAGTGTGTGCAGGTGTATCATATCTTGCTTCTCGTCAGTTGATAAATGCTCAACGAGCACCATGAGGGTGTGTAGGCTGTCTTGTATCACTGCTACAAAATTAACTTCTTGTACTTGAGTCTTCAATGAACTTATGACCTGTGCTTGTTTCTGGTGTATCCTTTAGATAAACTTTTCGTTCTCACCTTTCTCCCAAGGCTGTTGTCATCTATGATGCTCCTGGGGTCAGAAATGTGCTTTGAGAGAAGTTTTTCATGCATTTGGAGATGACTAGAGACAGACGTACTTATTTTCTAGTTTATTTTCAGTGTGACCTGTAGTAATGTTTTCTCACAGAGAGAAATTCTGTGCTAAAAAAAAAAAAACATTTAAAATGCTCAGATTTTGTTGGTTTTGCTACTTTAAATGGGCAGTCTTGCAAGTGTAGTCAGTCTGTGTTTTATCTGTTAGGACAGTCTGTTAAGTGGGTTTGGACATAGTTGATTTATATGCCTCTGCTACGTTATGTCTTCTAGTATTCACCCCATCTTTGACTTGGTCAAACACTCAAACCTAAAGAGCAACAGATATATGCTTGGAAAAAAATATAAACAGTAATAGAGCTCAGGGTCAGGGAAGTGGGACAGAGGAAGACCCTGATGGTCAGAGAATGGCAGGGCAAAATTCCAGTAACGTGACCTTTGGCCCAGCTACAGGGAGCCCTTTAGATGGAAAACCAAACATGAACATAGAGAACTCTGGGAGAGGAAAAAGCCAGAAAAAAAAATCTGCTTTGTGTGCAGAAGTGCAGGCTTACCAACTAGAAGCAGCTTTAATTCTCACTGGACCATTTGTTTCCTCTTGTTATTTATTCTAGTGGCAGGGCAGAACTGCAAGCAGAATCTGCAAGCAGTGTTGCTGTGTTTGGGAGAGGTGATACCAAAGAGAACACTGTGTTTAGCTGTGCTCAGATGTTATTTTAGAGCAATAGTTAAGTGATTTTACACAGCTGCAAATATGCTTTGCATCCTGACAGATAAGCTTCATAAGCTTAAGGCTTCTGTATGGAAAGATAATGGTTTGATTTGATATATTCTTCCCTAGTAAACACATATGCTGCACTACTAGAACTTCTGTTTGCCTTCTGACGATAGAGGTGTATGCCTACCTTTCCAGCAGTATTTAATTAGTATCACTTGATATTCCTATATTTTTTTGCTAAAACCTTATATCTGTCTCTTTTCAGACTTTTTATCTGGCTTGGTATTCTGCTATGAGTAGGCAGGAGAGGAGGACAGGAGAGCAGGCAGAACAGACACAGACTAGATCAGGCCCTTGTGTCACTGTAAAGTGTGGTGGTTCTGTACTTAATTCCTGCACAGGGCTCTGATGTACTGTGGACCTCATCCCACAGAACTACAGGCATCTCCTGCACACCTTAGGATGCTTATGAGGCAATGAAGCTGTATTCATCATGGTACCTCAGCTTTCCACCAAAATGTGCTAAGAGAAATTGCTTGTTTTTAAAGATAGACTCAGTCACTGATTAACTTCTGTTTGTTTTCCACTCATACTATTTTGAAATGAACTTTATTTCTTTGCCTTTGAAATATTAAGAATGTGATTTACTCTACAGTGCTTGATTGCTTCCTTACTCTGGAAGAGATATCTCTGAAAAAAACAGACTGTCCCCACTCTTCCTTCCACCCCCCAAGAAAGCCAAGTCTTATGTACCGTACTGATAAGTCACAAACATAAAACAGTGCAGGATTTTTAAATGCAATTGCATTGCCAGGTCTTCTGGAAGAATGTAAAACGAAAAATGTTGAATTTCTTCTTATGAACTACGTACCTTCAGGTAGAAAACAGTTAAAACTAGCTACAGCCAAATGTATGGCTTTATAAGCTTGTGTGTTTTTTGAACCGTTCCAGCACCTGAAAAACTCTTCAAATGTTTACTCTTATTATCTCCTGGGATGGGTTATGAGTAATGCAGAATAAATTTTGGAACTCCTCGCCTTAAAGGGAACCTTTCAGCACTCTCACAAAACTGGCTGGGCTGTGACAGCTTTAGTGCCATCCTCTGACTCATGAGGATTTTTCACATATGTACAAAGTCTTTTCTGAACACCTGCTAAGGGAAACTGCAACTGTTGATTTAAAATGAAGAACAAAGAAAATCAGATGAGAAAGCAGCACCGGATCTTTTTCTTATGCAAAGCTGTCAAACTTGATTTCACCTAGAACAAATAATTGTCATTCTGATTTTTATTTTCTTGCTCTTTCTTAAATAGCAGGGAAACACTTAAATCATCCATGAAATTAAGGTAATAAGCAAACTCTGTGGAAATCTTTCAGAAAAACCCGCAGATCATGTATCTGGAACAGGAGCTGGAAAGTTTGAAAGCAGTGCTGGAGATCAAGAATGAGAAACTCCATCAGCAAGATATAAAGCTAATGAAGATGGACAAACTGGTGGGTTTCCCCTGGGGTCAGGCAATTCTGGACTGTTTCTCTAGCTGTGTTCTGATGATGAATTCAGGCTGGTCAGACTTGTATGCAAAGATTTTTTTCTTGTTTAAAAGGAAGCATGCAAAACTAAAGGGGCACACTCCCACTGCAGGTACAACTTTGTTTGTGTTGGGCTGTATCAAGGGGGAACAGATGCTCTAAGTGGTCTTTCCATCTCTTAAGACAGCTACTGAGTTGCACGAACTATAGCAAGTTAGTATGGAGCTGAGAGCCTCTTCTACCTTTTCCTCTCTTTTACCCCATCTCCTAAACAAAAAGAAAATCCTCACCTGTTCACATTTACTCAAGTATTATGGAAGACAGATTGCACTGTTGGGAAAACCTTAACATGGTAGCTACATTAATTAAACAAGAAGAGATTGCATTTTCATCTAGAGTTGAGTAGCTGAGATCAAACACTTGTCAGCTTTAAATTATTTGATCAGCTCTGTGGATTTGTTCCCAACCTGTGCATATATCTATGTGAAACAGCAATTTTGGGGGCAGAACTTAACATTATTTGGCATATCTAATTTGTGGCCTTATCCTGGGTGGAGCTTTGGAACAGTTGTAATAACAGGTTGAGCAATATTTTAATGAGAAAATACAGAAGGGTTTGGATACAAGGGAATACATTCATGTTATTTGTTGAGTGTTGCACAACATCATATGTTGCACCATGCTATTGGTCTACAGTTGCTAGAACGTTACTTGTCAACCCTCATCTTTTCTGACAGAAGTTTGTCTCAGCAGAGAAGCCCTTGGAACATACAACCATTTAAAAATTAATTTTTTTCCATAACTATTGGTAACATCTTGCAACAATGGAGTAAAATCAGGAGAGTAGCAGGGAGAGTTGTGTACAGAGGGGAACTTCTTCCATTTCTTGCTCTAACACAGTACTTCTAGGCAGCCTCCAGGCTGCAGCAGTTCACAGAACTGCTGCCTGTAACTCACAAAAGTTACTAGAATCTGCTAGTCAAGTAGCATGGACCTTATCCAGCTTCTCTTCTGGCATGTAATCAGCAAAAGTGGCACAATGCCAGCGTTACACAAGAATAAGGTAAGCAGACCTGTTTGACTATTTCAAAATATTAAGCCATGATAGCAGGTCAGTCTTCTTTTACTCAAAAGTCACTGTGCCTGTTTTTCCCTTTATTGTAACAAACTCTGTAAACTCTGTGCTAAGAATGTTGGTATCTTGAGTTGTATGTGTATGACTTTATTTTAAACTGTGACCTTTTATTCTAAGGTGGAAAACAACACCGTCCTAATGGATAAATTAAAGAAGGTTCAGCAGGAAAATGAAGAATTAAAAGCTAGGATGGACAAGCATATGGAACTTTCAAGGTGAAAAATATCTGAAACTTTTAAGATATTCTCATTAACCTGGGGAAGATCTTCCTGTAACAAGCAAGAAAAACGTGTAAACACCAGTGTCTAGGCTTATGTAGTTTTCTGTAGAAGAAATCTTTCCTTTTCTACTTCTGTCTTTATAGCTGTACATTCTTCTGTAGAAAACCAAACAGGAAGAGACTGTAAAGAAGTAAGGCTCATCAAAGCACTCCAAAGCAACATTTCAGGGAGAAGAAGCATCTCAGACAATACCATCTTACAGCAGATTGCTACAGGCTCACCAAATACTACTGGCCTCTCAGTTAAACTGGCTCAACTTTTAACTGCTTCAGTTGAGCGATTTGTGCCCAATATCAGGGAAAAGACCAGTATGTTTTAGTTAGCAATGACAGCAATATTTAGCATGAATAAAATGGGTCTGAGGTTCTTCTAACCTCAAGTGCTACTTAAATGAACAGGAAAACCTTTTTTGTCTGAGGTTCTATGTAGAGCTGAGTCTGCTCCAAGAGCCCAAGGCTTGAGCATGGCCACTGAAGATGTCATTGTTAGTGGGACAAGTCTCACTTTTCAGGTACTTTTTCTGGTTATATTTACTGGCCTCCAGGAATGCTCCTCATGGGAACCTCCTCCTGCTTTTTCTAAGCTACAAATGTAAATCCCATGGGCTGCAAACATGGTAAATCCTCATTTCATTCTCATACTAAGGAAGTAATTCAGTTGTAAGCAAAGTAGAGTTTTATGCAAGTTCAAACTATTCTTGAACAATGAATACTGTAACCAACTCTGTGACATGCTCTGACGTAAATCTGTCTTTTACAGGCAACTTTCTACTGAGCAAGCTGTTTTACAGGAGTCCCTAGAGAAAGAATCTAAAGTCAATAAACGTCTGTCAATGGAAAATGAAGAACTTCTGTGGAAGCTGCATAATGGTGACCTATGCAGCCCAAGAAAACTGTCTCCCAGTTCTCCATCTGTGCCTCTTCAGTCTCCACGAAATTCTGGTAACTTCTCTAGTCCTACAGTCTCACCAAGATGACATCTCGAAAGACAGGGGATTGCATTTCATTTGTGGTCTGCAGAACTGATCATAACTTTAATCGCAGGAGCAAGAGCTATATTAGCTGAGTATGACAACTAAACATAACTGGAAACTTGGTGCAAAAATGACGATAAGAGACAGATTATGGGAGTGAGACTCACGTAGCTTCTCCCAAAAAGACTTATGACCTCTATGGACAGAGTTGCACAAAGCACTTAGAGAGCAAGGAAAGACTTATTCATTGCCTTTTCACCTAACCATAAGGAAAAGCTCAGGGGCTTAGAGATAAAGATCACAACCTTTATAATATGTTCCTTATCACAGACACTTTTTTAAAGGCTGTTTGTTTGCGTGTGCGCATGTGTGCTGTGGATGGAATGGATGTAACACACCGTGCGTGTGTCTAATGCTGCCTTCTTTGCTGTGTATGTAATAAAGGATAAAAGCTGAAGACTACAGATTGACATGTACTTCCTTAACGATGGTGTCAGTTCACGCTTTTAGCCAAGGGTACTCTCACAGAAATGATGAGAGACAGCCACTGATGCTGTAGGTTAGTTTTCTTCATCTTCCTGTCTTCAGTGAAAGAATAGTGTGAAAAGCTTTGTCCATTGACTCAGTGTCTTGGCCTACCTTTCTATGCAACTTTGAATGAATTTTAAAAGCAAACTGAATTGTAGCCATATTGTGCATGCACAACAGCATTGGTTATGAAGAGGCTGTTAGTTGCAGTAGATTTTGTCTTTCAAGTCAATAGATTCTGAATCTGACTTTGAAGGACACTGATTCTGAAGTTCTCAGTACAGTGGCAGGGTTAGGTGCCCAGACCTATCACTTTACCTGCTGAAAACAAATCCTTAAACAGCACATCTATTGCTGAGACCATCTACTGAAAGAGAAACAAGATTTGAAAGCCAAAGAGAAAACTGCAATAATTAAGTACTCAAGTTCTCAATAAGATTCTTAAGTAATCTGTGAATTTCAGTGCACCTGGTGGCACATTCACTTTTTAAGCATTAGCATTTGTATTAACATTTGTGGAGTTGACTCAGTTCTTCTGTGGAAGTCATGGAAGGTGATAGCTGTGGATAATTACCCTGCTAAGTCTGCTACACCTTTTCTCTGAGACTGCAGGATATCAGTGTTTGCCAGTTCATCTGGCAAAAGATCCTGTACAGGAAATTCTGTAGAGTAGGGGAAAAATTTGTCCTGCCTGCTGAACCTGGGGGCTGAGGGTGTCAGCATGTCCAGAAATGTCATATGCTGAGTTTCAGCTTAATCAAGGTAATCAGATAACCTAGCTACTCCCTTGGTTAGACCTGTTTTAAAATCTCTACATCATATCTACTAAACACAGGTTCAAATCAGTATTCCAAAACTCCATGCTTACAACACCAGGTTTGGGTTTTTCAATGCCATTTGCAGCACTACCATAACAGTTATGTAACAGTTCAGCTAATGCTGTCAGCTGGCTATACGGCTGACTGTTCTGATAAGACACAGCCATGTTCGCCCATTTTTTCCAGTAGCTTGAGAACAGAAATTGAGGAGACAGACAGAAAATGTTTAGGGAACTAAACTGAAGAACCACTTTAAACCATGTTACCCAAGACTTCAATCTTAATGATGAATGTAGAAACAAGACTAGTAACAGTGCTCATACAAAAGTAAACATGCAATATATTAAACTTGTGGTCAATTCCTGAAACAAAAATGTTTCATTATTCAATTTACTTAATCTTACATTACGTGCAAGTTAAGGGTCCATCTTACAGACTATTACACTCTCTTAACCCCCTTTTAAGGCGCTGTACTTGCCACTGTTAGTGATCTCAATGCTTTTAATTTTCTGGCGTTTCAAATTTAATTATGAAAATCCTCTGTGGGCTAAAACTTAAGGTATATACTGGAACACTCATTTGCTACGGTCAAAGAGATTTAATCACATGTATTTGAGCTGAATGGTTAAAAAATAAATTTTTGTACTAATTGAAAGGTTTTTTCCTGCGTCTGTTAGTCAAATGCTCTCTAATCTAGGAACATCCTTCTAAATATTAAATATCTCTTAGTACCTGTGCAGCAGAAGTGCAATAGTGAAGCTTCACTGCAAAAATTCATGTTCACCTAACCCTTAGAAAATTGTAACTCTACCCTGCCACTCTGGTAAGAGGAAGTTACACAAAGCTACTTATAATTATCAGCTATTCAGTTTGAGGTGGCTGTTTCAAAAACAAACAAACAGCACCACAAGCACACACGTAAGTAACATCACAGAATTATGCAATGATAAAATATTTCATACTTTTGGGTTAATGTAGGTACCCACTGTGAATATGCTTCTGCTAAAGTCACCCATAAGACTCCTCTTAAACTTACTCTTTTTTAGTGAGGATTCTTTTAAGTTAAAAAAACAAAACAAAAAACAAAAAAAAAAAACAGCAACAACTCAAAAACACCAGAATTCAGCAATCCAGCAATTCAGGTAACAAGGACAGAAGAAGAGTACAGGCAGCTGTACACCCCTTCACACCAGGGAGAAGGGGAAGGCTTTTCTGGGACAGAACTGTAAGTATGGCATATGAAGTAATACAAAAACTGTGGAGTGCAACGAGGTAAGTCAGCAATACAGGACACTTCTCATCTCTGAACTGCTTGCAACCAGAATTTTTGATGCTGTTAAGAAGAAATATTTGTATACTAAAATCAGACTGTAGAATTACCAGTTCAGCATGTGTGCTACTGGTCAGAAAAGAACATTCTGTTCATGTGTGTCAGTACTTATCTCTATTTAGCTGAGTATTAACTTTCTAGTTTTGATTTAGATACTATGTGTTAGCAAAGTCAAATAAAGCCTTAAAGTCCAGTAATTTCTACATATTTCTGACCATTTCCTTAGCATGGAAACTTGAGTTAAAACCTGCTTCCCATAGATATATTCTAAAGGTCTAGAGCTATCAGAGCAATTACGCTGGTGATTTTTCTTCAGATACTCCACCTTACCTATCTTTAATGCAAAATTTCATGAAAAATCATCACAATGACATTTTCATCTGTACCAAATGGTTTGTTATTCCAGCTATTCATACCTTAAAGGTATTTGGTTTTGAATCGCACCATACTCGCAGCAAAATCTAAGCTGACTCAACTTCTTTACGCTCCTTGAAGACAGTGATTCTCATGGCAGATAAAGGGCACCTGCATGCAACCTGGTATCAGGCCATTTGTGCTGGAAATTCTTTCTACAGTAAACACTGTTCTTCAGAACTGCAATTGTCTGATGACGAGGAAATAATTTAGGGCTGAGCTGGAGTTCAAAGATTATCAGGAAGCTGAAACTCAGGAAGCTGAAACTAACTTAATCCTTAAAATTAAGAAATACCATCAGTAATAGCTGCTTCCTTGCTTCAGTAAAGCAAGGCTGCGGCAAGGAAATAGAAAGTGCAATACTGACAGGTCATGGCATGTGATTTTGACAGGTCACTTAGACTTCATTTCTCAGGCTTCATTCTTTGAGCCTGTATCATCGTTTATTTAAGTGGAAGTATGCATTTGCATCAAGCTAGAAAGAATCAGGCCTACCCATGAGGCTTTTGGGAAATAAGAAATGTTATAATACGTGGTAATTTCCTCTCATTGTTTATAATAGTGCAGGAAATGTTTCTAATGTTTGCAGGAAAGAAAAAAAAGTCTTCCAGAAAGACTTCTGTGGACATAATTGGATCTGAGACCTTCATGTGCTCAGCCCACATAACAGTTAAACTGAAGGGATGCTACTCGACCAGTGATGCATTTACATGATCTTTTTCTCTCCTGTCAAACTGTCACCAAGAAAGCGATGAAGAACTGAACAAGTCTGGACAGGTGTCACTAAAATATCCAGCAAGTGGGGGAGAGAGAAAATTTAATTGTCCAATTTAAGGCTCAGGAACATCTTGAAATGTAAGAAGCTGATACAGCTCCTGTAGTTTAAAGCAAAAATGTTTTCCTGGTAAATGAAAATGCTAAAAAGGAATGAAAACATGGCACAGCCCCATCCAGAAGCTCAGAGATCATTAAAGTAAGTTACTTTGGCGAGATTGAAGCCTTGTCTTGAAAAAAGAACAACTGTATAAAGTCCTTGTTCAGGTATTACCATAAAATTATACAATAACTATTTGGTAATTTCAGTAATAATGTAACATTCCTGACTTTTAAGAGCAATGAGAAGATTATCAAATAACTGCTTCCTATGCATTCTAAGTTGGTCCAATTGCTTGGGGTATTATTTTTTGTAGCTACCTTACTTCCAGAGGACAACAGTGTTATGGATAATGGGGTGCGTTCCCTCTGCAGCCTCCTTTAGGAGACCTTGCACAGCCATTTCAGGCTTGCATTGACATCATATTAGTTCACTTGTTTAGGTTCCTGCACTCTGTTCACTGTTTTTGTTAGTTACAATAGTAATCAGATTCATGACTTGATGGATAGATATACTGCCATTCCTTATGTTAGTTGTACATACAGATGTCACCACTCAAAGCAGTGCTGTATACGTTTGCTCACAGGTTTGAATTACCTGGAGCAAAGGGATTGCTTCAGGGCAGCACCAAATAAAATCCTTAGGACTACTATTCAAATGCAGGCTGAGATGTATAGCAGCCATTGTCTTGCTTACATGCTTCTGATTAGGTTCCTCATGTTCAGCTGTTTTTCCATGTCTTGTACATACAATTGCTTGCATTGAGATACTTTTTGTCACACAGTTGCACTACCAATCAGTTCTGTGTTAGAAATTCTAGCTTACACAGATCTTATGCTTGAGACTTAGGAGAGGAAAAAAAAACTATTGCTGAAATGCCCAACAGTGTTGGGATTGGGGATCCTACCTTTCTCTTGGAAGGGCTCTTTCCTTGTAGCAGTAGTCTGTGTTGAGAAGCATATGCTTATTTATCCAGATACTGTTTTGTGTGAATCAAACATCTTTCTTCCTCAGTAAAGTAACAAAGTCAAGTTGAAATTATCAACTTGAGGAAAGATCTGCTGTATAACTGAACATTATTTTATAATCATTATGTTATTTCAGTCTGTAAATTATGCCATATAAATAAATGCAAGTTTTTACTTTAGCAAGTAATAATGCTACATTGCTACATCTGTTGAAGAATGCAGTGCAAGTGAACAACATACTGAACTCTAGGGATGCAACATCTACCATAGTCACTCATTTGCAAGTCTCTGGAGACACTCTCTAGTAACATAAAACATTTATTACTCATCTTCTCCTAAAACTGAGAGTTTTGCAATAAATATATATTTACAATATATATTTATGTATATATATGTATGCGTATATGCAATGAACACACACAGAGTTCTATAATGTTAAGAAATTTAATTGTTTTTTAAAAATATTGCTATTGGCTAGTTCTATCAGAATTTTTTTTTTATGGATTTTTGCTTTTTTGTTTTAAACATGTACAGTACTCTATATTTTATATTGCACAGCACCAGAAGAGATGCACCTGCACTGACGGGTTTCTGAAGGTATTACAAATCCCCTGAGTTTTCACAGAGGAAAAAGGCACAAACCATCCAGCAGGTTAACCCTGTAGAAGAGTTGGAGGAAAAAGGCCACACGCAAAGGAAAATGCAAGAGCATCTATTCCCAAGTACAATAAGCCATATGCATATTCAGGCTTCAAGTGGATTACACTTTATAGCATTAAACTTAGTAGTAAATCTATAGTGTTTCTAACTCACAACTGATTATGGCCAGGTGTAAGGCAACATGTTTTGGCCTGGCAATCTAGTGAAAGTGGGATGCACTGACATAGGAAAAGAATGTAATAGAGAAAACTTTATATAAACATTAACAAAAAAACCCAGAATGGTTAAAATGCAAAGCAACATACAGTTCATTACGGAGTCCAGAAGCCTTTCCATTAGTTTAGTTCAACTCTAGTTGCCACTGTTGTTGCTCCTTGTAGGTTCTGAGCTATACAAATATAGTTTCCAGCATCTCTGGCTTCAAAATCCTCAATAATGAGAACACTCTTTGAGATTCTTGTGGTGTGTCCAGTCCCTCTGTTTATCAGTCTCCAGAAATTCTGTGTGATCACAGGCCGTTCCAGCTGTTTAAAGAGGAAAGAAATAAAGCAAGCATGTTTAGTGATGCTACTCTATCAAACTCCCAGACAAGTCAGATAGTCCAAGTATCTTTGAATCACATTATATAACTAATTCTTCCTCTAGTTTCAGAAATGCTGTATGAAATAACATACAAATAAACAGCAACAATCCACAGCTGCTATATTTTCCAAAATAATTGTATACAACTTCAAAGCCAAAAATATGTACGAGGATACTTAGAAATATGCCTTAAAAATACTTTTTCTTCTGTTCACATGTGGAAGAAATATCCTGTTGTGAATGCCCTTTTGGACTGTTTATCTTACCTTTGCATTTGCAAAGGAATGGAGAAGAGCAGCTGGCCTAAAGAGCCACTAAAGCCTTTCCTTCCAGCCTCCATCACACACAGCAGCAGGTTTGTGTATGCTGGTTTGTCCTACACAAATTTTGTGGATAAAACTGGTGAAGAAAAGCCTTCTGCTTAGAAACCATCTCCTTGTGCTTAATGAAATAGGCAGATTAGCCATTTATCAATATGGATCTACAAGGCTGAAACTAGTAACAGCAAATAGGAAGTTAAACACTTATCTGGAGTCAAAGCTACAATCTCACAAAATGACCAGCATAGGAAAAGCTGCTGGTCTTGGTAAAGCTTAGGAATGGCTCACAATGTAGGCAGGCTCTGCCTGGCCAGTGACAGATGCTTACAGCTAGCAATGACCACCTTTAAAAAAAAAAAGAAAAACCAAACAAAATTTAAAAACACTATTTAGCAAAGCAGTAGCCTCCTGTTTCCAGTCTGAAAACCAAGTACTGCCTACAGTCAAGTACTGCTGCACAGTGAAATTCAAGCTTAAGCTAGTTCTTGAATACAGCAAGGAGAACTTCCCTGACCGCATTAAAAGTGAAGGTAAACGCCATGCAAGGCAGACAGTTTGCCTGGCTGGGCTGTTGGCCCAGCTTTTCTCATAGTAACTGCCTTCTGCTTTGAAAACAGTTTCAGGGAAGCATACGAAGGAGTGGATCAGTATGCGTTCCCAGCAGGCAAATGTGATCACCAGGGAGGGGCAAGAGAAAAAATATCTGAGAGGAAAAGTAAGAGGGAGAGGTATGGGAATGAGATGAGATGCAGTAACTGACCAGTTAGTTACTGCAGGAACTGTTTTAAAAACGGAAGGATGGAACTGAGAACCTTTCTCAGAGTATTTCTTTTGCATTACGTGAGTACTGCCTTAAGAAAAGTCTGCAACAAGTAAAAAGTGCTGCTTCTCTGCCACTTGTTTTGTTGGGGCAGAAACCCAATCAAGACTTTTCCCCATTATACCTAGGCACAGCTGAAGCTGTTCCTAGCAGTGGATCAGCACACAGACCTGCTCCATGCTGCATGGCCAAAGTCTGTCTCTCAACTCCTGTACATGGGTACAGGGGAAAGGTGCAGTCCTCTACTGCTAGCACACGTGCCCTGCACTGTAAGCACGCTATCTAGAGCAAACGAGGTAATTCACATGTTTAGCTGTCTGTACTGAACCAGGGCTGGAAAGGCATTGATGTAGCATGTGCCAGCTCTGCATAATGCTCCGCAGAACCACTGGGCCAGGACCAGCCAGCAACCATACCTGGACAGCCATTCAACTGACAGAGATTCAAAAGCAGCAAGGGGTACATACTGACAGGTACAGAGTTTTAAGAGGACAGGCTGAGCCTCAAATTTCTTCAATTGCTTGTACTCTAATTACTCTCAGTTACCAAGGATGTAAAATGGGTTCATAGCCAGTTACTATAGTATAATATACAGAAGTCAAGGGAAGTTGACAATAAAAATAAAAAAAAAAAAAAAAAATCAACCAACAAAGCTCATGTGAGCAGCAGGGGAATTTCTTCTCTTCCCTGTCCAAGAGTAAATTGTTATGAAGACTCTCAGAAATAAAAGCTCCCCCCCAAAGGCTACAAACACTGCAATCTTGCTACATTTCACTCAACATAATGCTAGATGCTGAATACAGAGGATGGAAGTGGGTGTTTAGCTAAAAATTGAACAATAATAAACAAAAAGCACACAAAACTATTGCTCATCATCTCCCTGGACCTGGAGGCACTTCAGTTTTCCCCAGCATTTTTCTTTTTACTCCAACAGCAGATTTCTCTAGTTATTTAGATGCTGCCTCTTTCCTTCCCAACTTCATATGGACACCAGTCACAGGGACTCTTCTGCCAAACTCTTCCCACATTCCAAAGTATTGCCCTTATGAAGAACAAAAAGCATTTCAGCCAAGGCAGACATCTCTTACCTCTTGCCCTGGGTACTGCCAGCTGAAGTTCACATCTACATCTGGCTCCCCAAGGACAGTGCAGGCTACGTGGATACCATCACTGACTTTGGCTCTACTGGGTGATGCCACAATCGTGGCTGAGGGTGGGCCCTTGGGGACTGACAGAAGAACAGCATTAGGAAACAGGACATCAGTCACTTTCTGATATGAAATCATTGATAAAACATAGTCAAGAGGCAAGCTGTGCATCAGCTTGCCTAATGAAACAGGTAAGTGATGTATATCTGCAGCTTTCCGCCCTAAATGGGAAACTGTTTGAGCTCATACCAATAAGATTTTATCACGTACAGTTTCAATGAAGATTTCAAAATTCAGTGACTACTTCACTCATTTTACAAATCCAGTTCTTAAAACTTGTTTTCTAATGCCAGCAGAAGAAACAGGAGTCAATGTAAGCATATAAGAAACATCACCATACCTTCCACATAGAGTAGGTGATACTTGATGGAAATCTGAGGTGCTCCCTGTGACTCTGCTTTGCAGTAGACAATACCTTTATGATCAGAAGTAGGGTGCTGGTAGACAAAGCCCTTCTTCGCATCATAAATAATATTAGTTTCATCTGTTTCAATTTCTTCTGCTGGAAATTCCCTGTGTAGAGTAACTTTTGCTGAAGGAGTAGTGACACGGCATGGGATGACAGCAGGTTTATCTGGGTTCAGGTAGACAATCTCAAAATAACTGGGAGTAGGTACAAAAAGTTCCTCTTTATCTATGCAAAAGAGATGAAATAGTTAGGATAATGTTTAGATCTTGGCTTAGCAGCAAGAAGAGAAAATGTTCATTTTTAACGTTGCCCACAAAGCTTTTTGCTTCAAATACACGAGAAAAAAAAAATCTATTCACTGGATTTACTATTGTTTACTTGTCCACTTGTAAAGCATAACAAAAACACAAAAAGAATGAGCTAAGATAAGCACTATTAGAAGGAGATATCTGGAGCAGCCATAGCCTTTTAATACGTATGATTTAAAAAAAAACTTATTTACTTCTTTGCGAAATAACTGAAATATTTAGTACTTTTAGACAGACAGTAACAGAGTATTTCCATATTTGATACACTCCTTATAAAGTTGAATTTCCTCTTTTTAGCTTAAGCATTTACCATAGTAACTTACTGAGAAGTTTATTTCAGCCTTTTTGAAGGAATGTATCCTTGAAACACAAAGCACTTCTGATAAATGGGTTCAGTACAGCCTCATAGTATTATTTAGCTCCAAAACCTACTGCAAACAATCCTAACGTTTGGACAGGAATATTCACTAGCTAAGAATGCGTTAGCTCTAATAATGCAGCAAAGGTTTCTCTACCACTGAGAAGTATTTCCATTAGAAGAACACATTAACCATTTGATTTTCACTCTTTTGCACCAAGCAGCAGTAAACTGCCCACAGTTATCTACTCTATGATGACCCTACCCCCAGTGTGTTGAAGCTACAGCTGATTTCAGACTTTGCAGGGCAATGCACCCCTGCAGGGTGTTTTGCCTCTCAACGTGCTACACAGAAGCTGGGGAGAAACTGTGTCTTTACCAAGATCAATAAGGCCAAGATTTTAAATTAGCTGCAGGTAACTGGAAATACACTGAGGTTAGGAGAGAGTATATGGAGTCACCTAATGTCATAACTCTGTGTAGAAGACTTCTTTTGTAATTTTGCTTATCAAAACACATTTTCATAAGTTAAACATTCTTTGGATTCATTCTGCAGGAGGTTCTCAGCACATCAGTATTTTCAGAGGTATTTGATTCCATTGTATATGCATTATCTCAGGTATGCATTTAGCATAATCCATAGGGAAAACGGACTCACGAATCACACAAAGCAAGCGACTGTCTGCAAACTTCACCTGCACTTCCTTCCATAACATTTGCTCTTAAACAAAAACCCTAAAATTGTGGGGAAAAACATCTTGACAACAAAAGATTTGATATAGACTTATTACTTACTAAAAAACATATTTTCACAATATTATATATTAAAAATCCCCAAAATAATTAATTACCTGTGAAGAAGATGTACGTTGAACCTGTTTTTGTCTCATCCTTCCTGCATTTGTTACCATTGCACAGCTGAAGCCAGCAGCTATATTCACCAGTGTCTGCCGCAGTGGAGTTTGTAAGGATCAGCTGACCATACCTGTCCAACTGCTTTATACTGGAGTGAAGAAAAACAAAAGGCAGAGACAAGCACACGTGTATTTCCTTGCACATTTTTGTCAGATCATTTATACTTTTGATTTTTTTTTTATTCCTGTTCTGCAACAGACACATTTTTCTCCTACAGAGTTGTGTTGCAACATCCCCCTTTGTCCCAGCAAAGACCCACACATGAACAGCTTTTTGATTTCAACTCTATGCATTAGCAATGGTAAGCTTTCATCACATATAGTTAACTCCTGAATTCATTCCAGAATTCCTGTTTGAAAATGGGCTGTGATTGCCCTAGACAATGTGTTTATGTTTCTTCAGTTGTCTAAATATATCCCATATTTTCACACTCTAAGTCAAGCCATGTGAATCGCATTCCTTTCCTGATACCATTTACTTCAGCTGCAGCATTGCTTCATTAGTATACTTCACCACTGGTGAGCAGCAGCCACTTTAATGACAGTTTGCTCAATGATTTATGCTTTTTTTCCAGCACGAACATTTCCCTGTCTTCAACACAGCAGTCCAGCTTTCCATCACAAACACCTTCAACTCAACTCATTTTGTCCTTGTCTCCTCGTCTGCTCCACTCCATCTCATTTCAACCCTGTCACTGTGTTCCCTCTTCATCCTCTGGCTACATCAGTACCCCTGGGTACTGCTGGAAGTATGCTGGCAATATCATGAGGCAACTACATAAAAAAAAAAAAAACCCACCTCAGCCACTTTTTCCTTCTTCTCCACAAACGTCTCTCATTGGATTGAAATTGTAAATTGATTTGTTTGTACAGATAATAGCTGTATTTCTAAGGGTCCTAAGTATGAAATTCAGTAGGCACAATGTCATTCTTATTTATTTTTATGTTTGCTCTCCTGGCTCTTGCAGACAGGTAGCATCAGAGTTTGTAGCACATGCTACGCTGTCGTCTGATTGACTGCAAAAGGATCGGTCCCACAGTGCAAGTGGTCTGTGGACACTGTCAGGACAGATGGGTGGCAGCAACAATGCATTTCACTGCAGCCCCAACCTCTAAAAAAGTTATTTTCAACCACCTGCAAGGTTTCTTGCTCTCCTTTGTAAGACACTGAATTCTAGAGTCATTTCTATTGTAATCAAGTCAGGAGAGATTTTTCCAGTTTTAGGCATTTAATAGCAAACTCCTTTTCAGTGTTTCAGGCTGAGTCTGGACACAACTTGCATGACGATCCTGTGCTCTCGCTAAGCTGTGTGCTCTCTCTCTACTTACCTTCCTCCTATTTCTTTCTGCTAATGCCGCAGGTTTTTGTTTGTTTGTTTGTTTTTGTGTTTTTGTTTTGTTTTTTTTTTTAAGGCAGATGCAGGACTTACTGAATCCTTTACTTGGAGGAGTAGCAAGCTTTAAAGGCATTTTTCTCCTCCAAACCACCTTGTTACTCTGTTACTGAAGCATTATTGCAGACCTCTTAGCCCACATCTTAGTTGTGGGCAGCCTCCCGCTAACTGCTCACACTCAGGTCACCAAAGAGGCTGCTGCTTTCAGCTACACACAGCTCCTGACATTTCCAGCTCCCTGGGCACTCTGCTAAGAGACTGCACTCACAGCTGGTGTGCATTAGCCAAGGCTCACATAACCCAACATTCAGCCTTCAGCCAAGGCTGGGAGCTTAGAAATTAAAACACACCAAGTAAGCAATCCAAACAGGGTGAGAATGACCTTTTTCCACCAAGGCCTTCAGGCTTTTTACACTCATCCATCACATAGCAGTTTTGAGAGCTGCCTAAAGAAACAGGCAAAACATGCTTCCTACTTGCCATTGCACTTGTCCTAAATGACCTCATCTGATACCATAGTTTGAAAAATGGGAAAAGTAACATTTTCATTCTTAATACATGCACCTTACATTACAAATGTTTTCAGTTCTTCAATAAACATTGACCAATTCCTAATTGCACAAGAGATCCTCTTGTGTATAAAACTCAAATAGAAGAAAAGAGAAATCTGAAGTGTCCTAGACTATGATTATTTACATCCACAGCTCACAGTTCATAAGCTACGTGGCTACACTGGCACAATATATTTTGCAAGCACTAACATCAGCATTATAGAGAACCCATTAGGCTAGAACATTTAGCCTCCAACCATTAATGCAGCCACTGAACTATGGCTTGAAATCCCAACAGACAAAAAAGAGAAAAACAAGGTCAGAGTTAATTGATTATTGTACAGTGTGTTCTACTTAACTGGGAACAAGCTATCCAGTAATCAATGGAAATAGCCCAGTGAGGTACTTCCACAAACACGCACTAACATAACCTGGCAACTGAAAGAGTAGAAATGTTGAGGCATGTGACACGGCTGTGCTAAGCAGACAAAACACGAAGCAAGCTGTAAATGGCAAATTCATCCAACTGATCTATACTTCTAGGATAGCTTTCATTTCATTACTATTTTAAATGATGAGAAATTTTTCTCAAAAGCCAAAGCTTTGCTATGCTTTACATATCACAAAATAAAAACACTGTATACAGAATCTTTTTGAGACCATTCAAAGAAAACCAAAACAACACAAACCTTCAAAATCCTTTTCCATACACTCACCTTATTAAGCTTCGGTTATTTTAAGTTCAAAAGACCTTTGCCAGAAAAGCTGTGCCAAGTTTAGAAGCTAGAAAAAGCTAAAGAAAAACAACATGTTCTGAAGTGAAGCTATACACACCACATCTAGCAAACTCAAGCAGCTACACTGGTACTGCCACAATGGAGCTATTTAAAACACAAGGAGAGGGACAGAACATCCCTACTCCTTAAGGCAAGAAAAAAAACCTGACAGCTTACAGACTTCAGAGCACATGCAATTGAGTGACACTTGGTTAGACACAGATAACAAACCACTCAGTGAGCCTGTCTTAATTCACAGCAGCCCAGTTCTGCCCTGTACAACATTCTATTTTCTCAATACTTATGAAAGCACTCCTGCCTGTGTACCAATATGCACACAATACATACCCACCTCTGCTACAGCTTCTTTCACTGCAGCAGTTCCACTACACAAGGATCTACCTACCAGATGAAATTCAGCAATAAATACAGCCATGTTTTGAGATGGGAGAGGCCCACACTCTAGTCAGGCACTTCACAGACTGATGCCAGACCATCTTTGTCTAGAGAAGCTTTTTGCTCTCAAACGTATGAAAGTGAAAATGTGCCTGCCCTTCTTTTTCTTTATTCCTTTCTGGTTTTGATCCTTCTCACACTCTGCAGGTGCAGTTTCTGGTTGGGCCTGCAGTCACTGATCTACTATGTACCACCATACAGATCTGCAGCCATTCCATTTTGGCTGCATTGCTCAGCTGACACACAAACCTTCCAGACACAAGGATGTACTATGCTGCACAGGGTGGGACAGTGCTGCAGATGATAACCTAGTTCAGAAGTAAGCTGGTGGGTGCCCCCAACTTAACAGACAGCCCTAGAGCTGCACTGCTTCTTATCTACTCAAGATAAGAAACAGCCAAAGAGTCCTCCTCTTACTTCTACTCAGCCTCTTTCCTGAGGAAGCCCCACATGGTAATTTGGGGACAGGTCAGCAACTAGAGACCTATTAAAAACTCACACACACTCCAATAGTGCCAAACAAAACCACTTATGTACAAAGTTGTAAAGTATACCTGCAAAAAGAAACTCAAAGAAACCACAGCCATGGGTATTACAAAAACAGCTTTTGTAAAGATAACCTCTTTCTTCTTAGAAAAGCCACTGCCCTCCAAGCTGCTGTCTTTTACTTTCCATACTGGTGCGATAAAGAGACAATCAGAATGGCATGGAGGAAAACATGTGGCTTTTATCCCCACCTCTTCTTGTTACCATCCATAGGAAATGCATTACCTGGATGCTAAATTTAAGTAGCTACAAACCAAAACGCCCTCTCAATCCCGAAGCAGCAGACCTCAGCACCTTCAGCATCAGCAGCTGCCCAAGCCTCTGGCCAGAGATATACACACCATCACTACTGCGGACCTTAAAGGTTTCTTCTGTCTCACAGAAAGAAAAGTATAAGTTCCTCTTGAAAGATGATAACTTTGTTAATGATGCTTCCTACTGCCAGCTCACTTAGAAACACTGCCAGCTGTGCTAATTAAATAGGGACTTTATGATATTTTCAGTTATGTTCAATGAAAGCTTTCAAAAGCCAAGAAATACAAATTCTATAAAGCAGACCGTTTTGCATACATCTGTTAGCACAGCAACAAACACCCTGAGGTAAAAAGGATATCATAAAAACCATAATGAAAATGTAATTGCACAAGATTTGGTTGTCAATGTCTCCATAAATTATCCCCATTCAGTAAGTCCAAAGCATGCTACTTATCCATGTCTTCAGTTTTTCTAGTTACTTATGGGGTCTTCCGCTTACAACTAAAATGGTTGATTCAATTTAACTCTCTGTCTTACTGCTTCAATAACTTATTTAAAAAATATTTCAGTATAGATCCTTAAATAGAAACCTATCATATTTCTAAAATAAAACACTTAAGCAAATTACATGCAAGAAGTTATGTAGTATTTATTACCGTGAAATTATTAACTTTTGTTTTACTGTTACAAAATAATACTGTGAATTTGAATGAGAACAGAGAGGTAAAGAATTTCAAGCTACTTCAAACTACAAAATAACAAATTATAAAACTAGAAAACGTCTATCCTTCCTTAATTCTTTTACCCCATTTCTATGGCTAGAATAGTACAAGAGAACAACAGGCAGTCAAAACAAGTAATGAAGCAAAATTCAGATTCCGCTCTAGAAACTGTGAATACTTCTTGCCTTCTTCAATGCCAGATGTTAACATTGAGACCTGGAAGTCTACAGGGCCATATACGTAGCCCAGTGCAGGTGAGCAGCCCATATGCACACCTTCTAATGGTGAGACAGATTTCAAAATGGAAACTACCATCACATGCGCGGCACTCTCTTTCAGTAGGATTTTGCACGCTCCACTTTGGCCTACTAAAAGGTCAGGCCCGTACCGCGGCTGACGTGTGCCACCTACTGGAATAGTTTCATAGCATGGCTTAGGTTGGAGGCCTTATAGACCATTCAGTTCCAACCCTCTGCCTTAAGCAAGGCTGCCCCCACCAGCTCAGGTTGTCCAGGGCCCCATCCAACCCGACCTTGAGTGCCTCCAGGGATGGGGCACCCACAGCTCTCTGAGCAGCTGTGCCACTGCCTCAACACTCAGGAAAAAATTCCTTCCTCACATCTAACCCAAATCTACTTCCTTTAGTTTAAAGCCATTCCCCCTTGTCCTATCAAATAAAATACATTAAATATATATAAAATATATTTTGAATAAAAGATTTATTATAAACAAAAACACAATTGTTCAAATCACCCAGAAGATCTTTTGAGAGATGCTGCCACGATAAACCCTTAGCAGAAACAGGCTTGTAATAATTTATAGAAGCCTCACACTATACAGGTTTATTCAGCCAATTTATTCTGGAACTCCTTAGATGTCAGGAAACAAGCAAATCAGCTCATGAATTTCAAAGGGATACATGACAGACCATGGAATATACCTGTCAATTTTTAACCTTACTCTTTGAAAAGAGAAGTGGAAAGTAATTAACTGACTGTGACTTGAAAGTATCTTCATAACTGTAAGGAAGGGGAATAGTGTCACAAAGATTCAGATAATCTTGGCTATTTACAAAGAGCCCACAAACCTTTACTTAATTTAGGATCAAAAGGACAACAGGACTTCCCTCACACTAATACTGCTCTTACCTAAGAAAGTCTCTTTACAGCTCTTTCTTAGGGCATCATTCACAGTTCTCCTCAGTCTCTCAACCACTTGTCCTTCAATGATACCCAAACATAAACCTCCACAAAACAAGCAGGGAAAACAAACTCTTGGCAAAATAAGTGCTAGTGGCAGACATCCCTGAACTCCTTTATAAGTCCTTCCTCTTTCCAATACAGAAAGAGACTATTACTTTCAATCTAGACTTAGCTATGCGTGTACTATGCTCAAGAACTGGGAAGGCCAACAAACGTATGGTTTTGGAGATTTTAGATCAACTGCCACTCACCTGGTGGGGCAGAGAAGGGGAGAAAGTCCTTAGATCCTCCTCCTACTCTCACAACTGTGTATGCAGTATCCATTAAGATGACACTAGGTGAAAGAAAAAGCCTTCCTAAACCGAAGGTGACTATCTAGCTCAACATTAAGCTCTGTCACACTTCTGCACTGTGAATCCTGCAACTCCCCCAGCACTCATGCGTAACTTTGAGAGAAGAGGGAAGGACTAACCCCACTTGCTCCTTAGAGTGGTGCCTGGTGTATTTTTTGTTTTGCAAGCTGAGAAACACGGGTATTAACCTCTTGAGGAAATTAATCTTTTTGTCTCAGCTGATATCTACATTACCACCATCCCAACAGCAGCAGGTCTCTGTAGAGCATCAGAACTGGCAGCCAGTACCTGACATCCACCCTCACACATTTTCAGGGTTTTACTTCAGCCTCATTCTTATGTAGCTCTCTGTTAGTGGCTGGAACACACCAGTGTGTCCCTGGATCATTTTAGACTCATTTGAAGGAAATCCAGTTCAAATGCAACAAGACTCTTTCACAGTGTACATCACAGGAGGAAGAAGACTGAAAGATGCTTATCCTTTGTTATAGACAAGCAACCACTACATGAAACACCTTGATTGTAACCACTTTTTCTCCCCCAGAATATGAAAAAATAGCTTACCTGAGTCTGGAGTCTTTAAAGGTGTCCAAGTATGAAGGATAGCTCCAAGTCACATTACTCCCCTTACATCGCAGTTCTATGCTTTGTCCTGCAGACAGGCTTAAAGTAGCAGTCAGTTTCTGGAAACGGCCTTTATCCATCACCTGCATCAGTATGGACTGGGACTTGGAGGAAGAGTCGACAGGTTCCCTTTCCTTCATTTTTAGGCCCTTGGGTTTTACTTTTTTGTTGATAGGCTTGATTTTGTTTTCCCCTGGTTCTTTTTGACGCTTACTTTTTGCAGACTGTCCAATAACTGGTAAAATAAGGGAAAGACAGCAGTGTTACCAATTAGGGAAAAAAAAGCCTTCTTGCAAATAATTTTTCTTTATTATTAAGGAGAATAATCAATACTCTTTTCTTCATATAAAGGATTCAGAAAAATGAGAGTTAATTTCCATAAGTTTCTGAAGTCAGTGACATGACTCATTTCCCTGGACAGAAAAAAAGAGCTTTTAACAACATGTGGAAAATCTATACTTACAGGTCAAATAAACAGGCAAATATGTAAGGCATGAGGACTTCACAGATGGGAAGGGAAAGGAATTCAGTAGTTTTCTCTCCAGTTACTTTTGTCTATGCTACCTCATATCACTGCCATTTATTGTGCAGCATTACACAAGTGTCCTATCTTCATATGTATGTTACACACCCATCAGATCTGTATAACCTTTTAATATGCTGTGCTGCTGAAAGAGAGATGTGGGAAAAGACCACTGGGAAGTAAGGAACCTAATGGTGATTTTTATAATGCTAGTAAAAATCACAGAATCACAGAATTGCCAGGGTTGGAAGGGACCTCAAGGATCATGAATCTCCAACCCCCCTGCCACACGCAGGGCCACCAACCATTCCACCTAATGCTAGACCAGACTGCCCAGGGCCCCATCCAATCTGGCCTTGAACACCTCCAGGGACGGGGCATCCACAACCTCCCTGGGCAGCCTGTTCCAGTACCTCACCACTCTCTCAGTAAAGAATTTCCCCCTGACATCCAACCTAAATCTCCCTTCCCTCAGCTTAAAACCATTTCCCCTTGTCCTGCTGTCAAAAATGCAGGTTTGTTTTTCTTTTAGGTTAAGTACTGTGAAATTGCAAATAGTATTTAAGTCACCTGAAAGTAGTATCTAATACATCACATCTCTATAATGGCCATTTACGTTTACTGAGCAGATGGAAACAGAAGCAGAAGAGATTCCATTACCTGCCAGAGGCAACAGCAGCCTTTTAAAACAAAGCGAAGGAAAAGTGAGCTATCTCAATCTGATTCACACAAAGTTATAATTTAAAGTATAATTTTTAAGTGGGATTTCAGCTGTCTCCAGGCTGAACATTTACAGTGAGTGAAAATCATCTTTGTTCTGGAACCCCTTAACTCAGCTGAAGTGTTGCAGCAAAGCTAACCAATGATTAAGTAGTGAATAAAGATTCCTTTTGTCACATGCAAGTCCTTTCCAAAAAGCACTTCTGCAAAATGAAAAAGCACTTCTGCAAAATGAGAGGAAAGCAAGAAAAAAGCAAGAAAAAAAGCATCTCGAATATGTAACAACAGAATTGCATCTCTCAAGGTCTCAGCTGGATGCTGGGCAGAGGAGAGTGAGGACCACTTTTCAGAGGAGCAGTTCAATATACATACATATTTGTGCAAATAAACATTTCCTAAGCATGCACAACTCTCGTTTCACCTTTTTTGCCTTCAGAACTCTATGCTTTATTTATAAACCCATATATGACATTAACTGTTCTGGAAAAGCATGAGCTCACCAAGTGATCCCAAGTGTACCTGTCCAGCAGGAGCTGAGATGCATGCTGCAGTTGCTTAAAAGGTGCACTTATTTCCAGCAGTGCAGTGACTGATCTCAGAGGCTCACACACAGCTGCTATCTGTTCTCACCATGTGCCACATGCACATAAGCCTTAAAAAGAACAGAGAAGAAAAAGAAGAGGAAAACAAAACAAACAACAACAAAAATTTAAAAAGAAAAAAAAAAAAGTGGAGAGAGCAGTCTTTAAAATCCCAGCCTCTAAAATAATTAACTAAATCAATCATGAAGATTTATGCTGTAACTGACAGCAGGAAGCACAATCTTTTGTGAGATTAGCCTAAAACTGTTATATTAGGCAGCAAAAACTCTACAACTGTGCCTGACAGCTAATTCATGCTGAATACAGTTTTTCCATATGAAGTACTCTGGCATTTTATCATACAAATCAAACAAAAAAGCTACCATGGACTTAAAGTCAGCCTCACTGTATTCTGATAAGCATGGGTTACAGCTGGTACTGACTGCACTATCAGCAGCACCTGTGCCTTTGCAGCATGCTTCAAACAAATCCCTTTTGGATCAGTAAGCCCTACTCCATTTAGTTATTCTTTGTATGGAACCCATTCATATGAAAAATAGTTCAATGTCCTCATCTTTGTGTCAGGGAAAGAAGGTAAAAGCAGGCTGTACGCTAGGTTCAACATATGGTCACATCACTGATGTACAACTGGTGATGCCTTTGTTCCTATCTAAATGGCTTACTGCTTTCCCAGAAAGCAATTCAACCACTGGAAGCTGCCTTTCTCTAGAATAATGCAGAGTAACTTCAAGATCAACCCATGAAGTAACAATTTCTATGCAGTAATTCCTACGCAGTAACCCAATCTGCTTACAACATTAGAGTCATTCTTTTGTTTGAGTCTTCCAACACAAAATGTAAAGTCCCAGTTTTAGAATTTGGAAATCCTTCTGAAAGTCTTTACTGACAGGTTTGGTTTGTTTTTTTTTTTTCTTTTGTTTTGTTTTGTTTTCTTAAATTGGATTTATGAACATGTTGAAAAATCACATGCTTTGTTGATTTGCTCTGAATCAACTTTCTTGGCACATTAATGAGAGATGTCCTCTAAGATTCCTCCACAGAGAAGCAATCTGCCTCAGAGATGCTATTCCAGTGCTCAGTAAGATACTGCACTTTCCAATTTGTGTTCATTCTATCACCATTTTCTAGTAAAACCTCCCCAGGCACCTCCACGGAGAACATGGATGCACACAATTAGGTGCATAACTTACAGTTTTAGTTTCTGGAGCAGCCTGTTCCTATGGGCCTCACAAAGTTCATGGCGGTCTCTTCTGCCTCACTCCAGCACATCAGGAGAAGAACAGGATTTATGGTTGCTTTTTATCCCTTCTGCAAGCTGTTTCTCAAACTTTTTGTCTGCCCTATTTTGGTTTTTATATTTAACTCAGATGTGAGTTAAGAAGCCTCCTCATCTTATGTTATTCCCCCTTCTCAAATTAAATGGCAACAGTTTGTTCTTTGACTTTTATTATTCCTGCAAGAACATTAAAACTACAGTCTGGCTGCTCTAAAGCAACATCTGCATCCAATCGTGAGCACTGCTCGGGAGCAAGTCAGGAGCTGCTGCTCTTCTCCAAGCAGCTGCCCTAAGAGCCCACCACTTGTGGCATCTGGCAGATCACACTTGCTATCACACCCCAACGTACACAAGCCAGCCTGCACCAGCTGGTAATTCTTGTGCTGCTATCTGTAGTCCTTGCTGCTCCATGTCCTCTAACAATCATCCATCCCCTTGGCTACACCACGCTGCTTTTCCTTCATAATGCTTCTATCTTGGTTCAGATGGCTTTTACTGACAAAGCTCACCAGGCATCATATTTGATACTACAGCATTCTTCAAAAGAAGCTGCCACTTCTCCCTAAGGGCAGGCTCCTTCCTCTTCCCTGCACAATTTGTGCCCTGATGTTCAAGGCATAACCATTCCCATTCCAAGACATCCATTCCATTTCCCCACTGCACTTCTGGAAACACACAAGCTTTGTTTCTGCCTCCTTCTTTTAACCCTAATTAAATCAGACTATTTGTCAATATGCCATTGTCACACTGTTCTGCCAACCACAATCTCTACACGTGTTTGACAACACCCTGTCCCCACAAGGACCCCCAGAGAAACACAGTCCTCTTCCACACCTGACACTGCTGCTACGAAACTGTTAAAGGCTTGCCTGTGAGTGTGTTCCAATGCTGAGTGCCAGAAGCCTGGTTTTAATTTTCTTTAGATGAAGTTTTTCCTTTCCACACAGGCTCCCTCTGTTCCACATGTTTAGGCTCACTGGGAGCTAAAGAAACATTTTCCTCCTATTCCACTCTCCCCAGAACATTGAGACTTTGCCTTCTGACCTGGCATTTCCCTACAGGTAACAGCAGGACATTTCAGGAAGCACTATAATTACAGGGGGCTTTGTCTTCCCATGCTGAAGCTTTGCCTCTCTTCTGCACTTCCCAGAGATGTGACCTTGCATACAAGCCACAGCCATGCTCCTTCCCAACTCTCATTTGGAGTCTGCCCTGATATCCACCAGTATCACTACTTCCTGTACCTTGTAATCAGTTCCCTCTCACTGCTGGGCAGATCTCAGTGTGCCCTTTAACTACATTAATTAGTATGGCACTCCGTCACCTAAGGTAAAGGAAACAGGCAACCAAAGTCATCTGGAAACAAAGAACCTACCAGAGTCCTCCATCCATGCACCCAAACTACAGGACTTTCCCAGGAAAGGAACAAACTCAACTAGTCCATTTACACGGGTTTGGGAGTACACCACATTTGGCTTACTTCACACTCTCAGAAGACTTATACCCAAATAAGTAAAGGTACTTCTTATTTAAAAAAACAAGATTAAGGAAAAAAATAAGACTTTGTAGAAAAACACTGAGAAAGTTCTTCCTTTCTTCCTCTGATCTGCTCCAAATAGCAATTCCCAGATGCACTGCACCCATTTCCTCTGCAGAGGTACACTCCAGATCCCTAGTTAACCCTTCATGCCCACACAGGAGACAATGCATCACTATGTCTCAGAAACATGCCACACAGCACTTCTTCTCCTGGCTCAAAGGATTTAGCTTACCCTATTCTTTAATGTTTCTCACCCCCTTGTTCTTGTAAACACAAAGTTACCTCAAAAATTACCTCATAATTATTAGTCACAGAATGCTAAGTGCATCCAGTGTTGACCCAAGGCATCGCCTACATCCACACACACGCTCCATCAGCTTCACAGCTGCTTGGGTTACAGCTAGACAATGTCTAAGGTGGTCTTCAAGAATCCACTGAGAAACCTTGGAAGCAGAACAATTGTGCTCCCCACCTACCAGACATACCCATTTCACAAGGCAGGTCCCATGCTACATCTTGGCAGCATCACAGAGCTTTCAACTTGCATTACTACCAGTGAATTCTTCCTCGAAGAAAATCAAGCAGCAAGTTGTCAAAGAATAATCCTTAACCCAAAGACTAGGAGGAGAGTTTGTCTCTATGACCATAATTAAGAGCACAGAACAGGCTGAACATAACTCTGCTTGTGACACTCTAGGAGCAGGCACATCCAGCTCATAGGCGGCACACAGCCCAGCCTTGCCTGCCCCACACCAGTATGGCAGCACATTGCTCAGCAACATTGCTCAGCAGCAGCCAAACATCAGTACACCATTAACGCTGAGCTGAAACTAGGGTGGGTGCCGTGTTTGCTGTAAATCCAGCTAGCAAGTATATGCATTTTGACACATTGGCTAAACACAGTCCTGTGAACAGCGAAAAAAAATGTAGCTGTGCTTCCCATTTTGATAAAAGATTCAAGATTGCAAAAGGAAAAAAAAAGCGTTGCTTTTTTTTTTTTTTTTTTTTTTGCAGTTGCCCCTCATATATTTGCAACTGCATTTTCAGTTGACATACATTACCTGCAAATTTTCAAACTGAAGGTATAGGGTTGCAATCAGATATTCAACTCAAAAATCTGATCATGCCTCCTTACTACACTTCTATAAGACCTCTTTTATCAGAGAAAGATACCTCTCACTTCACAGTCATGCCTTATTCATGTCACCACTTTCTGGCAGTACTTACATTTGTAAACATCTGCTTTCACAAATGAAGCATGGGAAGAGTACAACTTCATAAAAAATAAAATAAAATCTCTGACAAACACCTTGGGAGCTCACAAAGAATTGCAACTACTTGCACTGAATCAGACGAATACATTAATTTCACAAAATCAAGGCGAAATATCCCAATAGCTTTGTTTTTGTTGCCTTTTAATTTTTTGTATTTTAATTAAAGAGGTGTTTTTTTTTTTTGTTTTTTTTTTTTTTAAATATATACATTATATACATTAAGCATATTATGTATTTTACACATGGCCCAAGACAATTAATTCCTCTTAACTCAACGTGGTGCAGAGGCAAGTCAAAGGGCTGGACACCAATGATCTACAGAAAAGTTGTCATCCAAGTCAGCACTTATACTGACAACACAGACAACCTAGAAGAACATATTTCACTGTTCATAAGCTACCATAAGCTAAGTCAGGAGTGCTATTCTTATTCCTTATTGGAACTTGAATAAATTAAACACACCACATTACTTGCTCACATAGATGTGTCTCTGAATGACACAGCAGGTAGCACGCAGCTAAACCTCACTATAAAGCAGATGAGACAAGAAAGCAAGCCTGGAGAACCTTTAGTCTAAGTTGCAACTCATTTCTCATTCTGAGTTTTTGTTGCCTATGTGTCAAGTAGAAAACACTTTTCTTGATGTGGCAACATACACCAACAGATCTTTAAGTCGAGATCCTCTTCTACACCACAGTACTAGTACAGCAACTCCTTGTCTGGGATGTAATTCCTTTACAAACAGTCATAAGAAAAACTATGCTAGAAAGGTCTCCTGGAAGTCCCCTCCTACCCCAGCCTGGTTGCTGTGGGTGTTTTGATTGTCTCGCAGGCCAGAGGCTTTATAGCCTCCCCAGACACGCTTAACAGCTCTTGAGGTGAAGTATTTTTATGTCCTTGCAGTAATTTTTGCCCCAGCCAGTTGAGGGAGGTGCTTCTTTTCCTTTCCCCACACACCCCTAAGCCCAGATCTCTCCACAGACCCCCAGTTTCACACAGCCTGCCCCAAGCCCTGACATGACTCCCAGAGCTTTCCTTGACAACATATTGCAAACTGCAGCAGGAGACACTGCCTGTTTTCCCTCTCCATCACATCCCGCTGATCACGTAACAGCTGGCAGCTTCAGAAGAGGATAAGCCACTGGCCAGAGCCACATCATGAATTGTAGGGAATTATCTAAGTTCTCTTGATGTTCAAGTCTAAATAAGCCAAGGCTTGGTTAGGAGCTTCCTTCCCCAGCCAAAAGCTAACCCCTTCCCTGCCAAGAACTCATCACAACCTGATGCTGAGTTAAGAACGAAGTTCCACCCTTCCTACCAAGAGACCAACTGCACACAAAACTCACAGGAATTAGAATAATTTTTAAAAAAGCCACAACTCGTCCCTGCCAGACACGAACCACCCTTTGCTTCACCACCAGCACCAAACGGGACCCAACTCCCGGCTGCACCGAGAGCTCCTCACAGGCTGTGGGGTGGGAGACGAACCCCGCTGCTCCCGGGCGGGGACAAGAGCTCTTCCCAGCGGCGCGTAGGGTCTGAAGCGGTATTCTTTCACTCCTAAGTGGCATTATTATTATTATGAAACGGAGCACCGAGCGCAGCGCCAACTCTCCTCAGGAGGTGCGCAGGACTCGAGCACCGGCTTCGAGCGCCTTGTCTAAGAGAGACGAAGAGGCAGCGGCTGTTGTCGACGACGCCTCCCGCCACCTCCATCCCAACTCCCTGCCCCGAAAAAACCGCATCTCCTGCCAGAGACGCCGGTTCGCCAGCAGGCAGCGGGACGCAGCCCGCCCGACCCCGCCACGCAGGACGGGAGCCCCCGCACCCGGAGATGGCCGCCAGCCCCCGACATGGCGGGCGGGGGCAGCGGAACGCGAGGCGGGGGAGGCCGGGAGGGGCCCGCCGGCGCGGATGGGGTCGCGGCGGCTCACCGTGCGGCAACGTCTCCTGCAGCAGCAGCAGGCTGAGCAGCACCCAGAGCCGCATGGCGAGAACGGCCGGGGCGCCGGGCTGAGGCGGGGCAGGCGGGGCAGCGGCTTCGCGACGGGGAGGAGCCCGCCGGTGCAGGGAGCGGGGGCCTCGGCCACGGGCCGCCCCCCTCTCGGCCGAGCGGCACCGGGCGGCGTAGGGCTCTTCGCTGAGGGAAGGAGAGCAGGTCGCACGCGGGATAGCCCACCCCTACCGCGTGCGGCTCGTGCCGACTGCAAGCTGTCTTCGGCCTGCAGAGTCATAAACGCGCCGGGTCAGCGGGCGCAGGTGGGAGCTGTGCGGGCTCCGTGTCTTTCGCCTCACGGGCGGCCCTGCAGGTGCGTGCCTGGCTCTGATCAGTGTGGCTGAAGGGAGCAGAAGTAACTGTGAAGTCAGTTTCATTCTAGCCTGCTATAGCAAAGACGTTCCCAGAAGCCTGCTCAGGAGAAGCTGCTTTATAGTGGGTGTTGCTATTGCTAAGGTTATTTCCACTTTTAATAACTACAGTACCACCAAGTATCCAACTCTGAAAACGTTATCACTCTTTGTTTTAAAGAAAGCGAACCATGGAGATGATGGCTCAGAAAAGATGTGTGGTATAAAATATAAATATGCACAGGAAATGTTCATAGCCTCTCTTCTGCTTAAGAGCATTAATTTTCCATCAAATCATCTGCAAAACCACTATAATTGCAATTCTTATGTGCCCCCTGAGGTCAGATTTCACTTCTCACGCACAGACTTGATCAAAGACATCATGCTGACCAAACCCCACATACAGGTACATATGGAGAAGTACAGTATAGCACTAGGAGACAGCAGCCCATCCGCATTCATTCCAGGACATACTCAAGTTGATTGATACATACCTTTTGCTATATAGGCATACAATTAAGAAAGAAAGTGTTTTTGTACATTCCGAGTTTCCTGTTTTTAATGGATACGCACTGAGAACTAGTTCTATTCATTTTTAAATATCAGAAGAATTGCAGTACACCCTGAGAAGAGCAAAATCACAGCTTCTTTTAAATTTGTGAACAAAGATGGTGACTCAAATATCTGCAAAACAAGAGCATCTTCGTGCTGGGAGCGCAGTTCTGCATCTCAAAGCTATCATTATCTATTGCCCAGATTCAACATTCCTACATTACATGTAAGTAGGTGTCCTAGGTGACAGTCTTTCAACTGCTAATTTTCAGTCATTTCAATCCTCAGGACACAGCACTAAATGACAGAACTCCAAGTTTTTTGTTTGGTTGTTTTTTTTTTCCTCCAAAAAGGGAAAAGAGATAACATTCATGCAGCTCTGAGTCTGGTTGCTGCCAGGACAAGGCTTGCTGCTGCAGAAAGCTGAGGGCTCACTCCCTCTGGAAATGGGAACTGCTGAATCATGGCCTGAACCTCTGATTGACCACCTGAGGTGAGCAATAAGTCAGCCATGGGAGCACAAGTGAAGGCAATTCACCTGTGCTGCTGGAAGGAGTGGAGCCTGGCTCCACCTCTCCTAGACCCATTTAAGAGCTGGCTACCAGTGAGGAAGGATCTCTTTCTGGAGATTCTTCCTTTGGAGTTTTATAGCAAGCCTAGGACAAGGGTAAGCACTTCATCTAGTCTTTTTCTTAGTGTAATAACCTGCTTAGCCAATCTCTCTGGTATGTTATATAATTATAGCATCTGTATGTTCATTGCTTATGCAGTACCCAAATCATTGTAGGAAGTGAATAGCAAACTACTATGATGCACATCCTCAGACTACTGGAAAAATAAAGGCTTTAAATGTATGATGTGGTTGTTGCTTTTTTTTTTCCCCCTTCTATAAAAACTATATGAGCTATCATGCTATTTATTGTGAGTTCTGATTTGTATAATGTCATGACATGAGATAACACAAATGATTATTAAGTCACTATGTTATTTCAGTACCTACAAAAGCTACAGTGGTGATTCAAGTTAGAGGTGTTGTATGAAGTATATACAAGTGATATTCAGCTTTATTTTTAAAAAAATATGGAACAAATACACAGTTGTTATCCTGTGAGGCATATCTTACTGTATACGAAAAGCAATATAATTTCCATCAGATTTGGAACTAAAGTAACTAAAAATGTTGCTGATTATAATTCTTATTGAAAAAGTGAATAAACAAGCACCATGTTCTTAAGTATATGAACTTTGACGTTCACAGAAACTCAAGACTTCTCATTTTGGCTAGAGTACTCAAACAGAAATTTGTATTTTAAGATGTATCACAGTTATTCTATTGACATTTCAAACTTTCAGCAGCACATCATACAGACATAATTATTACAGCTTACACATAACAAGAAGAAAAGTTAAAACATATATAAACTAATTTTTCTTAAAACGAAGCACACATAACTATTCTTACAGATATGTAACACATTTTGTGCTTTGCTTTCTATTAATACAAGAGAAAAAAGCCTTCCTAAACTTTCAAATCCTGACTGCAGCTAAACTTATATTGCTGAGGATGGAGTTTGCCTCATGCAAGGCTCAATGGAAACATACAAAGACAACAGAATTTGTCCAATTGACAATAGAAATAACAATTATATATACACGTAGCTCTTCGTAATGCATGTCTAGGCACGGAAATCCTTTGGCTTAGCTGATGCTGAAGAATTTGATTTCTAAAATCAAGTGGAAAACAGATAAAGGTGGTGAGGATATTATATTTTGCTTTGGAAAGTTCCAACTATGAAAAATGCAGAGGTCCTTTAAAATATATACCAGAAAGAACTATTAAATGTACAGAAAATTAAAAATGAATACAAAATTCTACATTACGTGGAGTACCACTTGCTGCTTCTGCTTAACACTGTGTAACCCCAGTGCTTTCAGTGAGCATACTGCAATTTGTACAACCTCTTGGCAGGCCTGGGAAGAACCAGGGCCTTGCAATAGAATGTGCTTTTAATTTATTTTTATGTAACCAAGTAACACTTGCTAGACATCATGTGAATTAAATTTATACTGTTCAAAACACACCCCAATGTCAAAGGCATCTGACAGGAGTTCAATGATTGCACAAATCCCAGTGCAGATTTCCTGCACTGTGAGGATCTCATCCAGGCTGGGATGCTTGCAGGACATCTGATTTTGGCACTTATTAAAAATCTCCACGAAAATAGTGTGTGCTTTATTTCTTAAATAGTTGTATATCCTTCCATAAACTTTGGGGGAAAAGGTGGCTAGAATTTTACATTCATCATCTAATAAAATACAGAAATATATACTTAAGCTTTACCATATTTTGTTTCTAAATTAATCGTATCATTTGAAGTTTCTGCATGGCATATTCAATTTCATAAGAATATAGATAAGTAACCCTGTACTGTTAGTACTGATCTTTATTCTCCTACAGTAGGCAGTATACACGGCCTTAACAAAAGGTGACCTAAACACAGTGTGATAGGTTTCAGGAATCTACCTCGTATTGGTTGTGCAGGAAGAAGCACACTATTATTAACAGAATAGTTTTGTCCAGGATAACAGACAATGAAATCTAAGATACCTCATAACATTTCCTGTTTCAGAATTAGGATTAGAATTTGGAATACTGCCTGAAGGTCACCTTAGGTCATGTAAATTATGCAGAAATGTTTTATAACTCTTATGCCTCCTTATGAGAGAACAAAGATTTACTTGTTCTCCTTTAAATATACTTTGATTTATTTTCCTAAATTGGATAAAAATAATTTTCCTAATTCTAAGGGCATATCCCAAGCGTACCAATGCAAATATAGTTTTTCAAGGATTTATTTCCATAAAGAAAAAAAAAGCTACCTCCAGTAATATATATATATATTAATACATACCATCATTATTTGCACAGAACAATTTACAGTACCAACAACTATGAGTATGTTAAAAAATAACAATTTAGTTCCAATAGACTTGTGCTCTCAGCTGCTCTCTTGGCAAATATAGCAAACACGAGAACAAAATTGGGCTTGGTTTCACACATGCCCCCTGCATAAGAAGCAGCATGGCTGTCCTTCACAGGCTGCTCCACTAACATCCCAGAAAAGCATCTGGAATTTCAAGATTACACATACAAATGCACATCAAAATTAGCATAAATATCTCACTTCTGGCTTATAGTGTTCTTAGCCATGGATTATTAATGGCATTAACTATACACGCATATAAAAAAGTCTTGTGCAGTCAAAGCAACTGAGAATACCCAATGATTTTCCTTTAGTTTTCTGTCTTGTTAGTTAACTGTATAGTTCCTCTGCTGCAGCTGCTCCCAGTCTCCCTCACAGCATTTGTAACAATCACATTATTTTCATATAATTAACTACTATAACTATGGGGAACTAATAATACAGAAATGAAGGGAGAAACACTATATACAAAATACATATAAGCTGAAAAATTTCTCTCTCTGTCTCCAAAAACCTTAGCTAGTGCTTGCTTTAGTCTTAAGTTTCTTACATTGACGGTCTCCCTTCAAAGGAAATTCCAGTGCAGTATGGAAATTACTCTAATCAGTACATCAGAATCATTATGGGCTAATGTCAGATCGATGCAAGCATATAGACAGGCAGGCACACGTTCGTTCTATACGATGGTGCTGGGAGGGAATGGGGTCTTCCTTGCATATCAGAGAGCAGCCACAGTTTGCAGCCCAGGACCCTGACTCGCCTGCTCTGTGGCACCAGCATCTGTAGAAAAAAGTCTCTGCTTCCCACACACTAAGATGTGTAAAGAATTTTAAAAAGCTGTCTTCCACTGTAGGCTTGTAAAAACATTGTGCAAAAGGTTCAGCTGAGCACTGCAGGCTTGTCCTAACAGGACATTATTGCAAATGGGAAGGACAGGTAAGGATGCCCTCTAAAAAAACAGCCACTGAAGAAGTTGTGCTCTAGACAGCATAGTTACAAATCAGGAAAAGAATCAGTATTTCTACTTCAAATACCAATGGTATTGAAAACATTCTTTTTTTTTTAATAAAACATTTGTTTCAGTCTGTCAGGATTACCTTAGTGGAGCCTAGAAAGTCATAAATATCTTCTGTTTTAAACAAGAACACATAGTTTTTTTGTCACTTTTTTGTAACAATGGACCCCAGTTGAGAAATAGTATTAAAATGGCAGATCCAACCGACAGACGGCTCTTTCTTTCATTGAAGAAAGGTTCTGAAATTTATCAATTGCTCTAAGCACTGCTCTGAAGATTACTATCTATTTCTTTCAACAAAACATTTTACATACACTATAATTTACTTGTATTACTCTGATAGGACATTTTAGTGTTTCTTTAACAACATCTTGTAAAACAAACTGCACAAAGAAGTGGCTATAACTTATCAGTATTAGGATGGATTATGATATATTAAGAAACAGGACTGCATTGTCACTTACTCTATAGTTTCTCTTCATCCTCTGTTTCATCCATTTTTAAGGACCACCAGACTTTAGAACAACGGTCCTTAGGACAACAGCTGCACGTGCTGGAAAATCAGTTAAAAGATAGGTGGTTGTGTGCTCATTATCCTGTACTTTGAAAGAAAAACACAGGCACCTCCAAGTGCTCTGCTTTGGTCTTCTAGCAAATCTTTTCTGGTGAATTTCTCTGGATTGCTATAAAACCAGGAATATGCCTCAGAAGACAAACAGTGGTGAAATCACTGCTCCTTGAGCTGAGCAGCCAGCAGAGGCCACTAGTGCAACTAGTATAAATCCCTGCCAAACCACCTGTGCTGCAAACAATGCTCTCCTCCCAGTTCAAACTGGGAAGAAAGGGAAGAAAGGCATCAGGGTTTAAACTACAAACTCAGTCTTCCATGGGGTATCAGCACATTCCAAGGTTCTCTATCAAGAAGCACTCTTCTTTCCGCCTTCTACATTTAGGCTTACAACAACAAAACTCATTTTTAGATTAAAAAGCAAGAATCTATCACTGTGAAAAAGACAGAAACGGAGAGAGACAGAAGCAGCTTAACTGGTTCTTTTTTTCTTTTCTTTTCTTTTCTTTTCTTTTCTTTTCTTTTCTTTTCTTTTCTTTTCTTTTCCTTTCTAGCTATTATAAAAAGGTGCTTTTCACTGTCAACCAACATCATTCTGACAGGATATAAAATGTTTTGTACCTAACAACGGAGATTAATACCAATGATTATTACTGGCAATATTATGCTTCAGATTAAAATTTTCCATGACAAAGTACAAAAGTACAAAACAATTCTCTTGTACATTAGGGAAGTTATTTTTATAAATGACTTCTTGCAAAATAATTTCCTATTGTGGAATCCTTCAAGGGACTGAAGACTACTATTTGCTGAGAAAATTTGTTAAAATGTCTGGGTGCTCTTCTTAAGTAATGTGACTTTTACATTGAAAGAACAGTGTCCATTTTCACTATCTTTAAAATAATGGTTCACACAGCACTGTTGCAGTTATTTGGTTCTTTACATACATAAGTTAGCATTTAGACATCCTACTCACAGGAATGGATTTGTAGGTTTAGATTTGGCTCACAAAAAAAAAAAAAAAAAATTGCTGTGCTAATATATTTTTATCACTTAGTGAAGTACTGAAATAGTACTTTGAAAAGCATTCTTTCCAAAGCCTGGGTTTGGTGTTTTTTTCAGCTCCCCTTCTATCTGAAAAGAAGGTCAGGATTTGGGGCATATTTTTTCTGAAGAGAAGTTTTTGCAGAAAACAACATAATCCCTCTTGGAAGTATTATTTTATATAAAGAACATCTCTGAATTGAAAAGAATTCATGTAAGACAGAAGTGAAAATTTAGAGGGAAATAAAGCCTTTAAAGGATCTTTTCTATTTGAGTTCTTAATGACTACTAATTAGTAAGGGTAAGCAATTCTTTCTTTACTATTTTTATATAAATTCATGATCTTCTACTTTTTGCAAAGCATCAGGTCCGTCAATTTATCATTTGTTTCGCAAGTATTTTCCAGGCTTCAATTTTTCAATTTTTCTCCCATGAGATTTCTGTAGCAACAAAAAATAGTACCTGGTATTTTACTGGTGAGTTAGTTGCATTGTTATTTGGGACACCAGACCATGTAATAGAAATAAGGAGGACATGTAAAAGGCACTTGTGTTTATAATGCAGTGTAAAATATTCTGAATTTCTTGCAAGTAGTTTCAAAGTTCTTCATATTTTGTAATTGCCGGCAACAGTGTATATCAGTTCAAACAATACCTCCAGATTTCTGCTTGCCAAAGGGTACTTCTCTTGTTTGTTTGTTTTATTTAAATATTAACTTCCATGCTGTCAGTTCTGAAATGATGAAGATGGATTAGCAGCTTGTCCAAAGCATCAGCCAGGCCTTGTAGTAAACACTTTCAAGAGGAACAATGTTGGTAGAAAGCTTTTGAAATTTCAGTCCACAAGTAAAATATCAATTAAAGGTTTAAAAGACTTGTTTGTTTACATAAATTAGCATTCACTTGTCCTTTCATGTGCAAGAAATTTATCACTTTCATTTGCATTTTCAGGTTCATCCACTTCTTCCATAGGGTTCTTTTCTTGCAGCCCACTATTTTCTGAACAAGAATCTTCATCTCCATTGCTGTGATGACCTTCAAGACTGTGCCTGATGCCATAAGTAAAATAAATAATGAAGCCTTTCAAAAGGAAAAGGGGGAAAAAAAAGAAAAAGGTAAAAGGTTAATAGGGTTTTTAGGCAAGTAATGCATCAAAAAGTCATTATTTTTTACTGTCTGGCTGAGCAAATTTTCCAAAGCCAGATATTAGAATGATAGTGCAATCTTCAGGTCTTCCCTCTTTGTACAGAAAGTGGAGGTGCTAAATTCCAGTGCATCATTTTTGCATAACTGATTGCTCTAACAGAATCACAGAATTGTAGGGGTTAGAAGGGACCTCTAAAGATCATTGAGTCCCACCCCCCACCAAAGCAGGCTTCCTAGGCTAAGTAGTGGAAACTAGTATCTCTAATTAATGACTACATAAAATCAGTGCAGTTTTCCTTATCTTAAAGGAGAATGTTTCATATAGCAAAAAGAAAACTGTTACAAAAAACATTTCAGCACACATTTAGCTAAGTAGACAAGAAATAAAAATATTGTAACTTACTGGAATTAGTTCTGTAACTTTGATTCTTCCTATTACCTCAGAACTATTTTTACGGTTTTGGCTATGTATACATATCCCTTCTAAAGCGTGATTTATTTTTTTAACTAGAAATACTAGATGATTTTACTAAAACATAGACTTTTGTTCCAATGTTTAAAAGCACAGTATTGAATTATCTAAGACAGGATTCATCAGTCCTAACAAAGGTGGGGATTTAAATGAGCAGATGTACTTACCAAGTGCCATCCAGATGCTAAACCTGATCCAAGTATCTGCACTTAATTGTACCATTAGATAAATATTTACCAGGATACTGAGTGATGGTAAAAATGGCAATAATGGAACCTAGAGGGAAATATTTAAAATATGCATAATATTAAATATCATTTCTTGCATATATCAACTACTTATGTTATACTTGAGTTACACTACATGAGCTAGGGGTGAAAAATCTCACTAAAAAAAGAACAGCAACATTTTCTTATTGAAGTATATTAAAATTTTCTTTTTCAGTATTTAATGATGAATTTTTACATATCTTAAACATTTAAAGTAAGTTATGTTTAAAATATGTTCTCTAAGGCTGTGAAGACAATTTTTCAACACGTACTAATGAAGTCCTGAATGTACAGCTGAAAAGTATCATTTCCATCTTTATAGATATATCCCTTTTTTTCCAAATTGCCTCCTTAGTTCCATCAGATTCTTTTATTTTTATCACCATGATTCACTGTTTCTATTATATAGTTTCTTAACTAACTGACCTTAGAACATAAGTGAAAGCTCAAAATGAAAGGCCATACTTCAGGGAGGTATGAATTGCACTGTGTTCCAAATCACTGCAGACAATGCAGATAATCTGACGATATGCTAGTCAGTTTCTGAATTGTCTTCCAGTGTCTGAGTGTTCAAACTGAGGACTAAGTTTGCTTGTGCCTTAACAGTGTGCACTCTGGGCATGTGTCTGAAAGAAAAGCTAGAAATCTGTGTTGTCAGACCCACTAGTTGTAACAGCAACCCAACAGCTATGCCCTTTTTGTATGGCCACATTCATACATGCATCACGCATTCAATTTGTGGGCAGCAAAATCCTTTCCCTAGTTCTGAGATCTGGATAAGATCTATTACACAATTCAGCTATGAGCATCCACTACCCTTGCAGTCACAAAAAAAACCAAACTGTGATAACAGCAGTGCAGTAATGAAAGACTACCTGAAAAAGGGCTGTCTCTCTCTCTCTCTCCCTCTGCCCCTCTCCCACTTCTTAGAATACATCCAAATCTCCCATTAGAGCTATTATTTTATTCACCATAAAGGCCACTTTCTGCTGGTTCTGAGGCTGCCTTTGGATGAGGAGAATGGTAACTATGAAGAACACCACCAATGCAGCAAGAAGGCCAGTACTCCAGGGTTCCAAGTTAGCAATGAAATGAGTCCCATATGTAGTGAGAGCACTCAAGCCACAAACCAAGAAAGCTGTGTGAAAAACAAAATGATGGAAATAGCATTGAAGAGGAGGTGACTTTTAAGAAGAATGACAGTGGAACTTCAGTATGAAATGCTATGAAAATGATCAAGTAATGGAAAAATACATGAGATTACAGATTAATTCCATCATGAAATAGAAGAGCATTATCCAGAATGATGCATTAATGATGACTGAGGAAAGGTATATTATTACTGAATGTTTAATTTTGTCTGTAATAAAATTCCATTACTTACATTACTGTTGTATATTACTTACCTAACAGACCCACTAAACAGTTTACAGTAGTTGCAGTCTGTTCTGTAGGTAAACTGGATGGATTAATCAGAGTCTGAAGACTGAAGTGACTTTCCTGTATCATATTTATCTGTGATTCACTTACAGCAGATTCTCTTTCTGATGCAGCCAAGGCTGCTTTTTCTGGAGAATATTTGGGTTGCTCATAGGTTAAACTGGGTTGGTACCTGTGCAAAAAAAAAAAAACAAGTGGGGTAATAATGAAGTTTACTCTGTGAATTGAAGGAATATGCCTCTAGGAATACATTTAAGTACTAAGTGCTTTGCAGTAGAGATTGAGAATTACCCAATATGTGAGAGCATATGATTAGTCACTATCTTATATAAACAAATTATGGCAACTTTTTCGCCATCTTTGTTTGTTTGTTTGTCAGCAGTTTTTTAAGTTATATAAATGCACCAGTGGGTCAGATAAATTACCAGTCTTGCACAAATGTGGAGATCCAGTTGGTCAGCAGCAGGGAAAAGGTAAGGAATTATTTTCCATGGCAAGTTCATTCTGCTTTGCTTCATGTAAGGGGCCTATTAACTGATATAAACTGAAATTTTACATCTCTTGTTAGAATTTAAATGTATTTTTAAAAATACATACTATAGATAAGTCAGTGTGGGATAAAAGTCTTCTCTTAAGTGGAAATTATTGAAATATTGAACAAATTCAAGCCGTATAGTTTTCAAGGCTATTGATTTAGCCTTGTATAAGTAACAAAGATTGACTTTTTAAACTAAAAAGAACAGAATAAATATAGAAATGACCTACAGCTCTCAGTATATTGATATCATTAAACTGTTTTACAAACAGAAGACATAACATAGTTCTACTGACAATTAACGATGATCTCAACTGATGAGAGCTGATATTTGTACTCTCTTCAAGGCTACCAGATCTTGAAATGTTTTTCTGGCCTTACTGATTTCCAACAGGACAACACAAAGCAATTATTTTAACACCTCTGTCTTTCACATACAGTCACCACAATGTGATAGGCCCAAGGTACAGCATGGATTGTATTTGTATCAAAATATTATCTCCTGGAAAAGAAAAGGTGTCTAGATTTCACATGTAATTTTGATGTGACTAACTGCTAAACTCATATAACAATATATCAGTGTTTTCTTTGACAGGTAAATGCTTCTCAGCAGTTATTTATATGCACATAGATAGCTCTCAAACGTTTAGTTATAAAGCAAAAAACATCCATTGTAGATGTGACTCCTGTTCAGGTAGTGAATAAAGCAATATAAACCACAGTAAAACAGAAAAGTTGTTTTTGACTCACCTAAGAATGAGGACACAGGTTGCCACAAGTGAATAAGCAAGAAGTGTGCCAATAGACATTATGTCCACTAAAGCCTTTAGGTCAAACAGAAATGCCATAATAGCTAGAAAAGAAAAGAAAAGAAAATGCAAAATTTGTATGAGGCTTACATACTAAGTCAAGATTTTAAAGTCTGTCACCAGTGTAACTTCAAATTGTTCTACTGAGAGCAATATGAGTGCAATCATAATAATCCTTAAAAACACATTTGAAGTCATAGCCAACATACCTGAACCTGATTTCCTACAGTTGGGAATCTCATTCATATAGATAAGCACACTGATGGGCCATATAGTCATGCTGCATAATCAAGCAATTTGTATTGGATTTATTTGGACACAAGTACTTGCATATGTGGCTTGCTGAACAGGGGCCACAATAAAATACATCTTTATAGAAAAGATTCTGATGCTGTAAAAGAATCTCATAAAAGTTAAGGGATGGCTCCCACTGCAAAACAGAGTGATGCGACCCATTAAGTATGTAAAATTTCCACTGATTTCAGAATCGTCTCCATGTAAATTTATGAAGTTTTCTATAAGAAAACAGGTGGGTTTTTCTTTTTTTTTTTTTGGTGTTTTTTTTTTGTGTGTGTGTTTTTTTTTTTTTAATTATCTCACTAAAATCTTCAAGTGGCCTTCAAGAAAGACAGCAAAATCTCACAAGAAATAATATTCTTAAGATCACTGAAATAGAAATTTCCATGGTACTCTGTGCAATTATGGCAGACATTTTGTCTATAAAAGCTAATATCGCCTTTATCTGGAGATTCTTTTTTGTCTATGCTGTTTGCACACAGAGAGAACTCATAGAGAAATTAGCACAATTAATTGAAATTAACTGACACTAAGTGAAAGGCTAGCATTAATTGATATATGGTCAAAAAATTCTTAAAGTATCTATATTTGACTCACTCTATTGAGATATATAAATAATCTAAATATTTTATCTTTTTAATCATCGCTAATCTTATAATAAAAGAAAAAATAAAATGTAGCATTTATATACTGTATGAGTATGCATACACAAACTTTTCTATATTCAGAAAGGCTTATATATAATATCTACTTTATAAATACTTTTAATATATGTGTAGACAGGTGTATCAGTGCACAAAAACACAGAAACACACATTCCCCTCTTTTTGGATTCTGACTTCAAAAAGCATGACTGCTGTGTTACAGAAGTTCTATTTCATCTGCTAGTCTCCTCTTCCAATGGAGGAAGGAAAATGATCTTGTCGTCTTAAGAGAGGGTGGATGTTCATAAATCCAAGAAGTCATTTATTGTAAGAAGTCATAACTTCATATCTGTGGCAAATTTCTGAATATCTCATGGCTCTGAATTCTCAAAATGTGTAGGTAAGCAAAGCTGAGAAAGAACAGAACCTGTAATAACCAAATATAAAGTAGCTATGTTTAATTTTAAGTTCTAGGTTCAAAAGGCTACTTTGTAGCCAAGGCTGTTTTCTTATACAGTAGATCAAACTGAAAAATTCTTTAAGTTTCTGATTAAGAGATTTAAAAAAAAGCTTTTTTACCTCTCTTAATTCTACTCAAGTTCTATGTACCGATGGCAGACAAATTTACAGTTAAGGAATTGTAAATGGACAGCTAAATATTTTTCAATGTGCAGTTTCAGAATCATGGTTAGGATATGTGAAACAGTAAGTCACGATAACAGCATGTGACAACTGACTCAGCTTTAGTCATGACCTGGTAACTTTAATTGAGGCCAAGCACCTAACAGGCTAATAGGATAAAGGTTAACATTTCTTAAAGCTATGCATACTAGGATACAAGGATACTAAGATACAAACAATCCATACTAGGATTTAAGAGGAAAATCAGATAAGATGAGCTGTTGCACTTATTTTTAACTACCTTGGCAAAACTATTTATGACCACAAGTTAAGAAATATGCTTTTTTTTTTTTTTTTTTAATAGATTAAGCTGTCTTCAGATAAATTATTCATATACCAAATTCCCCACAATGTCTAAAAGCAAGCCAAGTAACTGCTGTTGCACAGCTAGTCAAGGCTGTACAGGTACATCAATTAGTTTACGTGTTAGGTAACATGGCTCTCTTTCTTTCTTTCCCACATAAGTGCACTGCCAAATTATTATGGAGGAAAAAGTCAGTAACATAAATTAAAAGTCAAAATAGAATGTTTTAGTCTTAGTTCTGAACTCACTTTAAATCAATGTTAACCAGGTTGCTAAATGTTATAAGGCATGTATTTCATATTTTTGTTTTAAGGTGTTTATTTGCCTTGAAGGTGAATACATCCAGTGCTTCCAGTTTCTTAGATAATTAGACATCCCTCCAAAATAACACAATGAAACTTGGGCAGTGCCACTTCAGGAAGTATAGACAAAAATGAAACAGCTGTGTGTTAAAAATTTCTATTTGTGAAACTAATATAGCAGTTGGCAGCTGGCAGCAGGCCCCCATATGCTGTTTTGCTAAAATGTATGTGGGTGTGTATATGTATATATACACATATATATACACATATACACATATATGTATTTATGCATAAACACATAACTTCCCAGCACACAGACAAACACATACCCTTCAACTCTAACTTGATAAGCTTGTACCAAAATAGAACTGGTTTTCTTTAGAAGACAGTGAAAATAAAATCTGTGTATGTATTTTACACAAAAGCTGATCCCACTGCAAATACAGAATTTTTTTCTCATGCCTCATAATAAAAAACTTGACAACCGCTTTCCCCATTACAGATGTGGTACATATATCTACGTTCATTGGACAAGAAAATCCTATGGGTAGAGGAGAGCCTAAGGGACTCAGATCAAATAAGAAGCTTATTCACAGTACAAGAAGTTAATATTTAAAAATAAATAAATAAATAAAATCACTTTGAATTTCTGACATTAAAGACACTACCACCATCAGGATTGGTATGATTTAGAGTTCTTACACCTTTTGATTTTATTCCCATCTTACATGCAAGGGAAGTTAACAAGCAGCCCTTTTTCAAAACTATGAATTACCATGCACGTGCACAGAGTGTTCAAATCTCAGTTTTAAGAAATATGGGCTTTGAGAGCTTACCAGAGATGACCCCTGCTGTCAAGGTGGCAAAAACTGGTGCCTGCCTCTTACTCACTTTGGCAAGAAAACTAAAGAGTAAACCATCGCGTGCCATGGCAAACAGAATTCGGGGCAAAGGGAACATAGAGCCGAGAAGACTAGAACAGAAAAATGTATAGTTCAAATACAGGTTATTAAAAGCACAGTGCTTTACTGGTAAACCCAACTACAAGGAAAGAATGCTTGGAAGAGTTAATGGGTTCTAATTCAGTTTTGGTTTAGGCTCTGTGTTGCTGCTCTTGGTTTTCTGTTTGATTGATAAGTGTTGTCGATTATTTTGAACCTAAGCTTTGAAAGCTCTTGAGATTAGCAAACAAATACAAAATCTGTGGTAAAAAAAAGTTTCACTAGTAGCCTACTTTACCTGGTGACAGTTATATTAGATAAGTGAAAAGCAAATCAAAATTGCACAACAGTGTTCTATTTCCACATATGCAACACGCTTAGCAGTGCACCTTTCTTTACAAGGATCAACTCAGTCTCACCTGCTACTGCACCAGACGATAGAGTAGCAACTACTGGGGTCTTCGTTTTGGAATTGATTTGAGCTAGACATTTGAAAAGCAACCCATCCTTCGCCATAGCATAGATTACACGTGGCATTGGGAAAATGGATCCAAGAAGACTGAGTAAAAAGCAAACACATGCAACATAGCAAACACAGTTCATGCAGAGCTGTACCATGGAGTAGATAAACAATGCTAATTAATGGCATGTACATAAACTTATGATCATAAGACAGCAGAGTTGTATCATGGAAAAGATAAACAATGGTAATTAATGTCATGTACAGAATCTTATGATCATAAGACAAAATCAGAAAGCCCCATAGCAGAAGATACTATAGATCGGACAGAAATAGAAATGTCTTTTTTTTCCCCATAAAGTTGATAGTCGTTGTTTTTGTTTGTATGTTTGTTTGATTGTTTTTAATTTAGGAATTGAAATTTCTTCATTAGAGAGAATTCGGGTTAGCAAAATAACTCTTGCCATCACTGTAGTTCTTGGGTATTAGTGGACCAGGAACATATTCCAGGTCACACTAACTTGCAATTAAGCTTTAGTATTCCTCCAAAAAGTCTGTCAGTCAGCAGCAGCAAGTCAGTAAGCATTAGCAGCATCTTTTATGCTTCACATTTCCATGTGAGGCTGCTGATTAACAGTAATTCAAAGTAAGCACCAACAATTACAGCTGAGCACATTGTCTCTTCCCATTAAAGCTCCTCAAGCCAAGCTTCACTGAGATTGTTTCCTTTATGGGAGGAGTAATTATTTTAGATTTGTTATTAGCAGCACACAGAAAGCTTTTAAACTTTAACTCAATTAGTCAATAACTCAAAGCTCTTTTTAAACAGGCTTCTTACCTTAGATGGTTTCTTTCCCTCAAAATTAAATAATCATAATTATGAAAACAACAAAAAAAAAACTTTGAAAGGACAAAAGGCAAATTCATAGCCAATACAACCTCTGCAGCAGCATACTAGCATTTAACCAGCCGAATGGTTGCTTTAGGTACTTCATAATGTCAACTAAACCACTTAAAGAAGGCTCAGATTTTACATATCACAGATGCTAAGTACCTCTGGTAATGCTCATGAGACACAAGCATTAAGGTTAGACACACATGAGATAATCTCATGCACATTAACTGATGTATAAATGTTCTTTTCGAGAATGAGTGTTTTCTAAATCAGGGCAACAGTTTATTCTTCAAATAAGGATACTGTTAAAATTCACAACTAAATTTGTGCTGTTCTGACTTTGTACAATGTATTAATGATACTTCTCTTTAAGTGGGTTCACACAAATAATGGCAATATTATTAGAAATCTTTACCCAGAAGATACAAGTTCACAACACAACATAACTAGCAGTAACCATATGAACTAAAAGCAATGATCTGAACTCTTTTTTTTTTTTTTTTTTTTGGTTAATTATACCTCTAAACTGAAGAATATGATATCCTTTGATTTGCTCTGAACTGACACAAATCAATAGACTGAAAGATTAATCTCTCCAAACAAGGAAATATAACACTTCAAAATACACTGGAAACAGACCAGGAATTCAAATTTCTGAAATGGTGTTTTACTCTCTCAGTTTATTTTGTTTTCCAATATTAGTTTGCACTTATATAAAACTTTACTATTTATCAGTATAGAGGAAAATTTGAGTAGAACCCCCTATGACAAGTAGATAGAAAAAACCTATAATTTCAGAATGAACTGTACAAATTATATTCTTCAGTCAGGCACATAAGCTTTTATGTCATTCTGACACTATTTCCGCCACCTTCTACATCAAACTATTCCCATCCTTTAAATCATCATCTAGACCTAGTGTAACCATCTTCATCACGCTGATGCTCACCAGAGTTATCTCAGAATACTGTTAATATTCCTGCTTAAGCAGGTATGCCTTTTTTCTTTGTGGAATGTCAGCCCGTACTAATATCATTGAAGCTCACTTGGATGATTCCTTACCTACAAAACCTCAAGTAGAAGACTGGAATTGGCATTTTTCTATCCCTAAATTCAAGCACTAAGCAATGTTCTATTCTATGAAAGTGTTTGCACCAAATTAGAACTAGGCTGTGATATATATGAACACACACACATATATTGTATGCTTTCCCCGATCTTCTTAATTAAAATAACAGGTTACATTCACAGTTTTATAGCAGGAAATAAATTACCTTATTCCCACAGCTAGAATCTACATCTCAAATAATCCTACAAAAATCATAGGAAGGAATGATATCAAAGACAGATTGGCTACTGAAGAAAAAACAGGCAATGAAGATATAAGGGAAGCTAGGTATTTGTCTTTTCAGTTTTGCCTGCAAATACACAGTCTGTAAATTTCTTGATTGATTGAGAATGGCCTTCAAGACAGGACAAAGGCAGTGAAGTATATTTCATCAGTTAATAGAGGTAACTTGCAGGCCATGTGTCTGAAAATACTTATTTTAATAAATAATTTTTGGATAAAAAGTCAAAGAGGTAGAGTTCAGTAACAGTAAAGCTTAAACAGAAACATAAACTACTGAAAATATTGTGAAGAAAATCTGCTTAAGACTAAAACGTGCTTCTAATACTAATGCTAATCCTCTTCATGAAGTGAGCTTTCTAAACAAACCCATTAATTTATTTTTAAATGTCTTGTAATATCCATCAGCTTTTGCAAAGCGTTTCAAAGTCTTTACCTTGTAGACAAAGCACAGAGGGATCCCACCGCTACAACGTATTTTGCAGGACCCCATCCAACATATGCAAATGCTACTGGCAGAGGACTTTTCTCATCTAGCAGATAATATGGCATCATAAGAGTCAATGCAGCTGAAACTCCAAAATAGGCCATGAAGCAGACGAGCAAGGACACCACAATTCCAATGGGTATGGCTTTCTGAGGATTCTTGACCTCTTCACCTGAAAATAAAAGAAAGAAAAACAAAACAAAACACACACACCAAAAACCGTTACTATTACATTCATCTTTACAAGATCTTATCACAGACAAATAAATATGTTTGAAAGCCTAAACCCTCAGAATTGTATCTACAGAATAAACTTTAAAATCTGCACATTTACTTTCGTTGCCAGAAATCGCTTTTTTTTTTTTTTTTTTTAATAGATATAATTAATGGACATATAATATATTATATATTTAGAATTGTCAAAACCCATCATTTCTAGTTATTTTCCTGTAATTTGTACGTTCTAAGTACTCAATCCATATCGTCCATATATAATTTAGAAGTGATATCAGAAAACACTTAAAAATCAGTGGCCAGTTAACATGATTTGGGCAGAAAAAAAGTCTAAAAAAGACTATGTCCCTTTGCCTCCCCCAAAATCTATCATACACACACATATAAATACTATACCAGTGGTTGCAATGCAGTCAAATCCTACAAAAGCATAGAAACAGGTTGCAGCACCAGCCAGTGTTCCTGTGAAACCATATGGCATAAAGCCACCACTCCCATATATACTTGTCACATTCTTGTAGGATGAAAAATTCCTGTAAATAATAAAAATACAGCAGAAAAACACGTTATTTTTTATTACTGGTAAGTCAAACATATGCATCTTTCTCCCCTGCACTTTACATAACAGCATGTGAAGACACATTCATGTGAAAACTTGTAAGACAAAAATAACAGCAAATGGAATAATACTTGAATCTAGTAATTATCATCTTACCCATTTTGCTGTTTGTGGGAGGGCATTAAAATCCCTGATGGTGTAAGAAACATTCGTTGTCGTACTCATCCACTGCAATTAATTTGTGGCTTAAGGATAAGAAGCCAGCAACTTCTCAAATGGCCACAAATAAAAGTCTTGAAATATGACAGGACTTTTTTTTTTTTTTTTTTTAGGAAAATACAAACGAAAAAATTCAAACACTTTCTAAGCGAATAAGAAGTTTATCATTCCCAACAACTGAGCTATCTGTTAATAGATTACCTGCAATAGTACAAAAGCATGTATAACATGAGTTGCTTAGAATATGAGACATTTTTTAAAAGTAATTTTAAAATAATTTTAAGAGTAATTACTCTGTTATTGCAGAAAGGTTTATGAGATATTCTTCACTTATTCTCCAGTTGTCAACATCTCTCTTCACAAAACCAGAAATCATAACAAAGAGTAGGACCAAGATGTTAATAGCAGTGAAAATTTTATTCACCCATGCAGATTCTTTTACTCCAAATGATAACAGACCTATAAAAGAAAACGAATTTTTAAACATTAACTGTCATGTACAGTAAAAAAAGTTATTTTCAAGAAGATATATTTGTCAGTACAACAAATAATATTTAAAAAAAACAGCAATAGATTTTATACTTTTAGCACAAATTTAGTAAACTGACAGCCTGGCAACAGGCAAGTGTATTGGAAACCATAAAACCGCAACCTTCGTTAACTGTACTCTTGAAGTATTTACACGCATTTTGAGCAATTGCTACTACTTTTCTGGGATTCTAGTTCATATCTCTGTATTATGCCATGGAAAAAGTTAATTAACAAATCCTTTAGAATAACTGCATGCCTCCAGTTCATATGTATCTCTGATTTATAGAGATTCTATTAAAAAAGTATAATACAAAATATGCTCGCCTTGACTTCCAGACAAGTCCATAGAAAAGTTATTTCATCAGGATCCGACTGTCTAACAGCTGTGAGCATACTAATATTTTAATGGAATAACAGCTAGAAAGCAGACCAGGAGAAACTGAATAGAGTGGGAAAGTCTCTCTGGCTTCTCTAATTGCCACTAATATCACATACATGCTTTCCCTCATTAATTAGAGATTAACTCAGAAAATTATAAGCCTCTCAAGATAAAGTCTAAAAAATTTCTGACTCTGCTAATGAGATGCTTTCTATCTCATCATAGCACAGAAGTTATGATAGAAGCTCCTCAAGTTTTCTGCATCAGTGTTATTTTGGCTACAATTTCTGGAGGTAAGGGTGTTGAGTCACCTTGGGAATCTGTACACTGCAATGTAACTCAGCATAGATTCATCTTAAATCCAAATGAATTTTGTCTTTTAAATAACGTAGTTCTCAAATGCTTTTCAGTAAGAGACTTAAGCAATTTCTTCTTTTTTTTTTTTCTTCTTTTTTCTCTTTTCTTCTCATAAGTCAAACAAAACCAAGAACCAGATGGAAGAAATGAACTGAAGATACAAGTACAATCACAAATTAAGGTTTCCTATGTTATTCTACTACTCATCTTTCATGTACAGAGGCCTATTAAAAGCTTAAGATGCACTGGTCACTCATAGTAGCATCAGGAGCTGAACAGAAATGTTTTCCCCAATAATGAGTCCAAAAACACTTGTAACAAAATGAGAGGATAAGTGTTTATACACACATCAGTTTAACTTTCTAGAGAAGAAAAGTTCTTGCTTTTATGTGATCTAAAGAGAGTCTGGGATGTGTAAATGCTCTAGTGAACAATTCTAGTTGAAAAATGAGTTAATCTAGTTGTTTAAAACAAACTATACACTTTAAAACACACATAGCATATCCTTCACTTAACTTTAAGAACATTTACTTTTGGAAAACAAATGAAAACATGCAAAAAAGTTGCAGTATTTTGGAAATTTCTGATGCCTCAGAAAGTGTATACTTGGTATCAGTTCTTATAATTTAAAAATATGATAGAAGATTTTCCTGTATCAATGTGTATCATAGGTTTTATAAAACCTACCAATAAGTGATTATTTTATGTTTCATCTTCAAGGAAAGGAGAGTATGCATAATTTTTTTTTTTTTTTTTTTCCATACGAATTTAATTCCCAGAGTCATTTTGTCTATGTGTAAATGTTCATCTAAACTGCTCAGATACTATGACTTATTTCTGATATAACACAAATTACAGCTTGGTATTTTTTTGTTTTTGTCTGTAAGAAACACTCTGACATTACAACCATCATAAACGAGATATTTGTCTTTTACCTGACAAGAGCAATATAAGGAATACAGCAAAGAAGTCAGGATACTCTGCCAGACCAGGGTAATTCATTTTGAAGTAGGTTCTGAAGAAGTGACTAATCTGTTTCCCAAGAAGTTCATCAAAGGTGCCACTCCAAGCTCTTGCTACACTTGATGTACCTTCATAAAATAAATGCATCTTTACAGTTTTGCATGAATGCAATGAGATACAGTTAACTCTACTGAAAAGGAAATAAAACTAAACATGCTGCTACTTTTAAGTAGAGATTTTAACATCATAGATTTCCATCTAGTTAAATGACAGCATACTATTCTGCAACTAAAATATACAAATCTGTACTTAATTTGTTCCCAAAATATTGCAAAAAATATTTCTATATCATTTATATTTGATGTCCTTCTGGAAGACAATTACTTCAAAAGTCAAAATATTATGTGTAAAAAATACAAAACAATGATTTAATAAATAACGTGAAGGAAAGATTGTCTACTAGGAAGTAAAGCAAAAAAACACTAGGAAAATATATATTACTAGAGTTAGTATTTAAGACTAATGCTCTCCTCTGGTAAATAATCTATGTGACTACAGCTAAATAAAACCTTATTCTCACCACTTTCTTACCAGGAATGCACTACAAAACAACACTCAGGTCTATTGATTTTGAAGTGATTTGGGCAACAGTCCTGTAATTAGGTACACATATACAGATAGGTATGCTTATATGCCATACAGAGGAAAATGTATTTCTGGTACAAAACACATCTAAATCAAATTTGTCATCCTTGCCAAAGCACTGAAGCAGCTCTTTTAACATCTCCCACATAAGCATTGTTTGCTCTTAGGCTTACCTATAACATAGGATAAAATGAGATTCCAACCGGTGATAAAGGCCCACAGTTCACCAACAGCTACGTAAGTATATAAATATGCAGAACCAGTCTTGGGAACACGAGCACCAAACTCAGCATAGCAGAGACCTGCCATCACCGATGCCAGGGCAGCAATGAGGAAAGAAACAACAATGCTAGGTCCAGAATTCGACTTGGCAACTTCTCCAGCAAGGACGTAGACACCAGCACCAAGGGTGCTTCCAACTCCCAGTGCTATAAGGTCCAGCGTAGATAAGCATCGGCACAACGAGTCCTCAAGACCTTCCCCCTTGACATTCTTCTTACGCACCAAGCACCGAACAAATGTCAAAGCTGGTCCACAGGGCAACATGCTGGATGGAGAGCTCTGAAACAAAATAAATTATTGCAGTACATAGCAGGTAGCACTGTAACCGTGCAAACCAGCTAAATAAATGCATTTACATGAAGAACTTTAATCGCACCTATGAATATATTTACAATCCTCTATGACGATGAACAAGCATGTGCTTTTCTCCCACAAGTCATCTGAGGGATTCAGATTTGTCCAGAGGAAAAGAAATAGTTTTGGTTTACTATACTGCTGTAGTAAAAAGAAGAAATTGCTTCTCTTTATCTGTTGTTGGCTTCTTCTTAATCATTTCTAACACGGCATCAGAACAGACATCTATTAACTCATACATCATTAGGATTTTCAAGATAAGGATCAACATGAACATAAATACAGATTTTAAAGATGTAACACAACAATATCAAGACTATAAACACCAAAAGCTTTAAAATACAGCATTCTGACGCAGCCAGTGCAACGTCCTTTAAGATATTCCTTTGCATTCAAATAATATGGCTTTTGCCTCTAGAATTCACTCTGGTAAAAACTGCTTGAAAGATAAAAGCATTGTTTCTACTCCCTCTCACATCAACTAAGTTTCCCAGAACCAATTATTTTTAAAAGAGATGTATAAAACTCTCCCTGGTAAGCTTCTAACAAGAACAGATAGGTAAGAAGAGTGTGGTAAGAATTAAGTGAAGCTATCTGCCATTTCCTGAGACTTGTTGCAATCCATATCATGAATATCTATGTTGTGCTCATGATTCGTTTAGTGCAACCCTCCTAAGTGCAGGGACTGTTTTTCATTTAGACAAGTGTATTCTGCTCATATATTCCTCCATACCTGTATCAGTCTTCTGGATCAGTAACAGGCATTTCTACACATCACTAACAGCAATGATTTTCCATCAAGAGGGATGTCTTACTATGGCAGTATTTGCTCCTGGAACAAGAATTCAGAGGCAAGAAAACTGCCATTCTGAATGACTGCCTGAAAAAAAATCCCTTGGATATTAAAGAGAAAGAAATCTGAGCAGAAACATTTTCCTCCTCTTCCTGTAACTCCCCCAGGTACACTGTCATGTTGCTTTAGTCTTTAAAGAGACTCATTAAAAAAAAGTCTCCACTTAACTTTCAGGGAAAAGGAAGTTGGAATTATAGTAAACAGACCTGAATAGTCCAGGCAGACATTCTGTCCTCATTAGAAAGGAGATGGATGTCCCAGGACTGAGCAAAGGAGGTGAGACAGGCAAGTTTTTTGCTGTTTTGGTTTGGGTTGGGTTTTTTTTGAGTGATCTTTTTCCTCCTCAAATAGATCGTTGATATTTCATTAACGGGAAAAGCTATTCTGACAGACTTTGTTCTCTGAACATTAAACAATTTTCAAGGCTTTCGTTGTTCAAATGGATCTCAGATTACTCCATTCCTTTGCACTTCGCAATAAACCCTGAAGATTGTAAAGTCATCTATCACAGTGGCCAGCTGGGTGCTATTATGGTTTTCTCTATTGAAAGGCAATCTTTTTGAAAAAAAACTGTTTTGTTTTGTTTTGTTTTGTTTTCTGCTTCTACTTTCTCTGATTCCTGTGGAAAGAACAAGGGGGTGAACTAGGTGATCTCCAGAGGTCCCTTCCAAATTCTATGATTCTTTGTTTCTGAACAGGAGGCTGGTTCTTGCCGACCACAAGTCAGTGAGGTGAAACACCTCTTCTGGCTCCAACCCACCTTTTCTTCTTTAGTCTTCTTTGAAACTGCAGCACTAACAAAGAAAAGGTAGAAGATACAAACTTCATAGAGACAAAAAAAACCCTTCACACAAAAAAGACATAGTATTTTAAGTATATCCATCCTTTCTTTGCCCTGAAAAACACATATTCTAGATGACCACTGCCATTCTGAATGCCTTACTCTGGTTCCTAACTATCTATGTATGCAAAATGGATGAGTGCTACTTCATAACCTCTGATGCTGTGCCCCAAGCACAAAGCACTACCTCAGACATGGCCTCATTTGGATTTAGATGAGACACTGGAAGAGTCCAGTACAGATCACTTCATACTTGACAGGAAGAAATGATGACGTTATTTGGTCTCCACACAGGTCTAAATGGCACAGGTGGTAACAAAGTGCCTTCAGAAATCACTGGCAAGTGATTCATCTAAGGTATCTCCTGTAAGGATATACATTACCCACTTTGGAAGAATAACCTGGGCCCCTAAGGACATGTGCTACTGGACAAGCACATCTCACCACAGCACTGCAATTAAAAACACCTCATGTTCAGCCACTAACCTACAGAAGAAGCAAGAAGGCAATGGCTGGAAGTGCCTTTTGGTGGCAGCATTGTCCTGGACAACCTCACACTGACTGCAGCTAGGCTCAGAAAGGGCCTTACTCCTGCTGCATTGAAAACAAGTTTGGCCTCTGCAAACTCTTTACCCCAGCTGCCACCAACTCCAGCCGGGCCCCTTGCCTGTCTCCACGAAGCTGAGCAGCTCTGACTCTTCTCAGAGGCTTCCTCACAGCTTCAGCTTGATGCTTACAGGCATTTATCTCTAGTAAGATACCTAGTAAGGCTAGAAGCAGATCCAGTCAATTTCTTCTCCTGTTCAAATCTGTGCCAGGTCTACTTTACAGAGACATTTGTCACAAGCAAACATCTATGAAGTCCATTCGTCACTGACCTTGGCAAGATTGCCTTTGTTTGAAGCAAACTGAGATGGCAGCTCCTGACTCCGCTCACTCTGGGTCACTGCACTCCTGAAACCTTTCCTGGATTAAGTTTTTCTTTTGCTACAGATTACTCTGTAACACAGAAAATGTCTTCAACAGCCCTCTGAAAAAAGGAGACCCCAGTTCAATTGCCTGAGATTCGAAGATCAATACTCAGTCCACATTCAAGCCTCTCCCTTCCCCAAATGCATTCCTAGAAAGAAGTCTACTGTTGTTCCTGTCACAGATTACAGTTTTTCCCTTTCAACTGCATTACAACAAAGAGATCAACAGGACAGGGGGACCTTGTTTTGACAGAAAGGGAAATTGGATAGATATAATACAGGGGAAAAAACGGAAAGCTTCTTCGTGTCTGATGGACACAGACAGTACTTATTGGAGTACCTGAATAACCACAGATTCTTATCCTATCCCTTTCACTCTTTATTATCTTGTTGGTTTCTCTCTACAGTAGCTGCTGACAGAACCAGCTTCTTAATTTCAGTCTTTCCTGATTAGAGAACTCCTGGCTGTAAAGCAATTTACCTTATCACTGCACATCTGAATGCAATCCCAAGCAGATGAGTTCAGTCTTACAATTCATACCTGCTATTAATTCAGTTGGGTGGACCGATGATCAGGAACATTTAACAGCCATCTGGTGCTAGGCCCTTCTGGCAGCACAAGTTTGGTCTAAAAAAACTTTTATCTACAAACACATTGCAAAGGGCAAAGTCTCCATTTGGAAAGTTTCCGTTTGTCTTTAAAACTGCACTGGATACTTCACAGTCTGTAAAACCTACACAGACTATCAGCTTTCTACTCCAAAACAGAACACAAATAGGTGGATAACAATAGTGCATAAAAGTAACTGCTGTATAAGGTCAGTGTGTGCTGTACCAAACTTTCATTCAAAAATAACATTTTAATTACGTTAAATAAATGATTTAAAACAGTACATATCAAATCCAAACTTCAGATGGAAAAAAAAAAAAAAGCTTTTGATTAAATAACCACTGCACTGCTGCTGCAAACCAATAGTTTGTACAAAAATTTCCATTAAAGATTCTAATTAAAAAGGTAAACATTCTCCTACAAACAGGTATTATAAAGCCATATAATACCTCTGAAAGTTGTTAGACTGTTATGTATATTTAAAGATTCCTTAAGCAAAAGTGACTTAAAGATGATTTACTTATAATTTATATTGTTAATCTCCTATTATATACTATAACATATGGTAAGTGTTAGGTGCAGTAGTTTAACACTTTAAACAGCACATAAATGATGAAGCAAATATCCTAGCATGTTTGTAACATCCTCAAAATGCAGAAATACACAGATTAATTCAGAATCTTTCTTCAGCTTCAGTTTCCTGCAAAATCCTGTAAGTTGTACCAGTTGTATTCCATCTGTAGAATTTAGCAGAAAAAAATTGTTTGCAACTTTTATTATTGCAAGACTTTATTCAAAGTTGCAGTGTTGCATTTATTAGATCCAGTAATAAAATATGAAAGTAAAAAAAGTCAAAAAGTATGTGTACACTCTATTCATGATTCTACTGCATCTGCAACTTTTTGATGTCCTAAAAGTTGACTTTGTGCCCAAGACAATAAAAAAATTTCTATTGTCTTTGAATGTTAAAAGTAGTCTATCTAAACAATTCATAAGGCCCTAAAACTGGGAAGCAGCACCTGTAACAGAATATGCATAAATGGAAAATGAAAGATTTATCATCCAAAAGTAGATTTCAGACTGAGAAGGAAGACATAAATCACATATAAGATACTAATTTGCACTCAAAGACATAAAAACAATAAAATACACTAAATTTAATACCAAATAGCCCAGGTATTGCTATTCAGAAAGCACATATGCTAACAGGCAATGTTTCATATGATAAGCATATGATAAGCATGTTTTCAGATTGCTTCTTTCAGCATTACAAACCTTATACAGAGCAACTTCTGCTAGACAATTTTCTGCTTCTCTTGCCCAGTCCTGAACTTCTGTAGTCCTAAATACGTGATTTTACTGAAATATGTGATAAAGCAAACTAAATGTGGTGTGTGAGCTGCTGTGAAGGAGGTGGAGGCTCTGCAGCCCCAGGTGATTGGAGGCCGGGAGCTGGTGAGTGATTTGCCCAGTGTAGGCAGGGAGGGAGAAAGTCTCGCTGCTGTTCAGATGAACCATATCTACTTTCTCAACATTGTAACGTCATGAGGATGCTGTTTTCTCCACTGAAACACACCTATCTCCCTACATACAAAGCACACACGGTTGTGAAGATACCCCCCCATGCGTCCCCAGGGGACTCTTTTTAAA